CCATTCTCCTCACCCTCGTGGCCATCTCTTCTGTGTAGAGGTTGAAGAGAAGCGGAGACAGGATACAGCCTTGTCGTACGCCTCTCCTGCTCCTCACCCAGTATCCCCAAGTCTATATTTTGCTCTAGTATTCACATACATACTTCTCACAAGCCTCACACATTTTTCACTCATTCCAATTTTTCCCAGTATTTGACACAGAAGCCCTCTATCCACCCGGTCATACGCCTTTTCTATGTCTAGGAATGCCAAGTACACTTTCTTTCCATCTCTTTTCATTCTCCCTATCAGTTCATTCACAACATATATATTATCTTCTGCTCTTCTGTCGTATCTCAAACCATTTTGCTCTTCACCAAACACTCTTTCGTTCCTAATACATCTTTGCATCCGCTCATTCATAACCGCACAGAAAATCTTACCGCTGGTGTCAGCAAGGGCAATCGGTCTGTAGTTCCTAAGTTCCTTTTTGCTCTTGTGGCCACCCTTGTGAAGCAAGGTGACACGACTTTCATTCCACGCATCAGGTACACACTCATTTGTCCAAATAACATTGAAAAGATCAGTCAGTCTGCCAATTGCACTCTCACCTCCATACTTATACATCTCATACGGTATCTCATCCATTCCAGCTGCCTTATTATTCTTCAATCGCTCCACCACTTGTTTCACTTCCTCATTTGTAATTTCCTCGTCCATGCCACTCAGATTGTTGCGTTCTAATGAAACAACATTTTCACCAGGCGTAAATAAGTCATTCATCCCACCAATGTCTTCCCAGAATTTCTTCACAGCCTCCGCCAACATTGTTCGTTCAGTTACATACACTCCTTCTACATTCAACCCATCCACTCTCAGATCGCTTTCACTTTGTTCAGTTGCAAGGTTTCACCAATATGCGCATTTAGATTGACACGATATGACGCCAATTTTACTGTGCGACATAAAATTCGATGAAACACGCATAAGCAAAGAAAAATGCAACCGCTATCGAACTTGAGAATTTCAAGAAACTTGATCACTTGGGAGAATGAACGCCAAAAAGGGTCCAACAGGTTTACTAAAAAATACCACACATTAACTGTGGCAGGTGTGGAGGGCAAGAAACTGAGAAAAAACTTCCGGCTTCCCCTGACCGAAGCTTTACAGGGAAACCATCATAGCAGCTCTGGCCGAGTGACGGCGCACAGCACGCTTCTCAGCACCGACTCATCAGCACATCCTTCACTTGATTACACTGCAATGCATCTATTAAAACTTGAAAATTCAACCAAATTTAGATACAACGTAAGTTTATGATTAATATAAGTAAATCATTCAGACCAAGAAACAACCCAATCGAGGTTACCATCACATTTTTGTTTAACGCAACATTTACGGAATAACTTAGCATTAGAAACATAAATGCAAAGAAATGCCCTACTGCGTCGGTGAGCAGAGACCCGCGCAAACCGACACTTGACCCCACACTCTGCTACACAGCAAACTTCGAGGACCGAGCAACAGTAAATGGAACTGGACATTTTGTATCCTAAAATTTTCGCCATTATTTAAATTTTATACACAGCAAGGCCAGATATGCATCTTGAATAGTGTTCCGGCATGTTCCAGAAAATGTAGCATTACTTTGATTAGATCTTCGCATTGAGAATAGAAATGTCTTAAAAAACCCGATGGTATTTTGTCTCTATAATACATATTTTTGGTACAATGCAGAATCAGATCGATTTCGAGATTGACATCTTAGTCTCTCATTATAAAGCTCAACTGAGACTACAACCCTCGTTTCTCAACTGTGGAGATCACTAGCAAAACTCAACGATGAACAACTCTTAATACTCGTCACACAGGAATGCATAGAAGAAATAAAGTACGAACTAAAAGATGTTACACAATAAAAACTAGTCTCACACAGTTCGCGGTGTCAAACATTATAGACACACACGAATGATCACACTTGCAATCGCAAACAAAAGATGACACCGGGACGTGGAATACACTAACTCCAAACAAATAAATCAAAACCATCAAGGTTCCCAAATAAACGACAATGGTTGAGCTTTATGGACCTAATTTAATGAGTTTTAGAATATGGTACCCACTAGGGACAAATGAAGAGAAATGATCGCCAAGTCAGCTGTAGGTACTACGAATCATAGTAACAACTTGGAAGCATAACAGGCGCAATGAAGATGATTATGTACAGAGTGCACAATGAAATATACAGACGCCACCGCCACACACCAGTGACGTGAGAAGAGAGCTCTAGGCTCTATCACAGCCGGAGCGTTACAGGAAATCGTCGTCACACGTTAACTTTAATGCGTCAGAAACGGAGCGCCAGAACACACTGGTCTTCCAATACTGAACGCAACGCAACATTCAGTCAAGTTAATATTTCGACAAGAGATTCGACTTAGATTCAAGACCATGAGCAGAATGTCTATTTTGGTCAGTTTTTTCAAAGTATATATTCCGAGAACTACATGTGTGATACACATGGATACAGTTTTCAAGGCCAATTTCGAAGCTTTTGATAATATATCCCAGTTTTCATCTTGACGATCGTAGTTCCAGCCAAACATAGGAAGACACTGATTGGAAAACTTCAAGTCAATTTGTTGTTAAGCAACAAAAATCACAACAGAAGAAAAAAAATGATAACATTCGAGGTAAATACCTGCTGTTTGCCACACTACATTCAATGTCAAAAAGTATTGATTAACAGGAGTAAACCACCGAGATGAGGCTTTTAATTAGCGAAACTAGTACATCAGTACGAGGAAGGCAACTTTACAATTATATACTACTGGATGAGGTCTCGAGGCATCAACGTTCTTTCCAGAAAAAATTCATCAAACAAACATTTCATTATATTATAAAGAAGAAGTCCAGGATCCATTGATAACATTAAAACGGGATGGAAGTTGGTGTACGCTTAGCTGACCTACACAGTTCGGCTTACTTAGTAGGAAAACAACCATAGTAGGTTATTCGTATGTTCTCTCGTTGTAGGGCGAACACTGAGACGTAACGGGAAAGCACACCGGAATACTGTGAATACATCGCTACTCCTGGTTTCCTTAAAGTAAGGAGAATGTGGTAGTTTCTATCTTCACGGTTCCCACTACCGGTCAATATTAACAGTATCTAGAAGCCTAGCAACTTGAATTACCGTTAGTAGACAATGGGTGAAATCAGAAACGAGTTACTCATTTCAAGTTAAAACATTCCACGAGTTAGGCCCTCAGCTAATATCTCGGCTCAAACGTTATTAGCTCGATGACATCAGATCAGCTTCAACCAATCATCAACAAATTGGGTAAACTACCAGCATGGCAGATGCTCCCACATCCGAGTTAGGTATTGTTCTAATACCTGATGACGATGCGAGTAGGTAACCGTAACGTGTCGCATTAGATATAGATAAACGCATAATTGCTGAGCACTTGCAAAATCAAATGCTAGGGGATATCTTTCATAACGAATATATCAGTAAAAAAAAGAGAAAGAGTCAAACGAAAGTTTCAACAATATTAGACTTGCATTTGACCAAATTGTATACTTTTTCACAAGACATATGCAGGAAAGTTTGAGATTTCGAAAAATCAACAAAGATAACAATGAGATTACGCTGAATGAGCAAGCATCGAGAGCTTGCTTCGACATTCTTGCTAACATGAAGACTAGGATAAGACATTTCCCTGAAGTGCGGTGGTCACAAATCTTTTTTTGCGAGCAGAATCTGCCGCAGTTCACCATAGTCCTAGCAAAGGTGGTCATTATCGACATTCCATTGAACATAGAACATGACTTTGAAATTTTCAAAACCGTATTTCGTAAGGATCAGGTTGTGGCACGAAAATAAAAATTAAAACTGATAAATACTCAGAAGTGAATTGAATTTTCTAGCAAATGAATGAATCTCGTATAAATTAAATCACTTTATCAATTCCAACTTTATACACTCATACTTCAGATCCTTTTCGGCGACGTGATCAGACTGAAGTTAACACGTTCAGGGACGAAGCACATAATCAAGACATTCATGAATGTGAAAACATTTTCATTTAGGTGAATAAATTATTCACGTGAGATATTTGAACAATGAGTTTACCAAAGCTCGCCCTCCTTCTCTTTAGCTGGAACTTCAATAACGCGCGGCTTATCGATGATTCTGGCAGTGCGATTGCCCTTCTCAACGATGCCGATGATCCAGGCCTGGTAGCCCTCTTGCTTCTCTATGTCCTTGCAGTACGCGGCCGCTTGCTCCCGCGGCAAGCAGATCAGCAGACCGCCTGACGTCTCCGCACTTGAACCCTGTACACAAATGAACATTTTAAAATGAAGCCTTTTGAGCCCCGCACACAAATGAGCCTGTTAAAATGGAGCTTTTTGAGCCCCGTACATGAATGAACATTTTAATATGCAGCAGTTTGAGCCCCTTACACCAAAGAACATGTAAATATGGAGCACTTATAGCCCCGTAAACGAATTAGCATTTTAATGTGCAGCATTGATCCATGCACACATAAACATTTCAATGGGCATCTTTTGAGGCTTGTATACACAGAATTTAAATCACTGCTTTTGAACCACGCACACACATCAATATTTTCATAGGCAGACTGCAGAGACAGCATTACAGAGCGTTAGTACATAAGAGCACATCACCTCAAGTTGCTAGAAGGAACTTGTCAAGTCCGTGTTAATGAATATATTGAATTGAACGCACATCGTATTTCCGTGCTTGGATATGAGCTTCAGTCAGCGCCTAAGAGGCATTTGACAGATTTTAGTTCGAAGGGAGGTAATGTTGTTTTTATATTTATTTAATAGTGTTGAGCAGTGCGGCTATCATTGTTTCATAGCTGAAACAAACTTGCGAAATATCTAAAGAATAATCAGCTTAGCTCTCTACAATGATCAACTAGCGTTTCTAACAATATTTTAAAATAGTAAGCTCTAATCTATTTAGCTTATATTTTCTATAAAAATTGTTAGAAAATAAATGTCTCAAAAATAGTACAGAACAACGGAAATGTTTTTTCTTTATGGAGCTCTGAGAGGGAAAAATTGTCATGAACCTTGATGTTTTATATATGTGAACAGAAATTTTACAAGAATTACTAGCGAAAATTTCAAGTATATACAGTAGGTAGCTGTTCTGGGAGATATCTTGAGCAAATTCAAAATCTCAATTAAAACGCATAAAATCACAACTCTCTGCATTTAGCTGCATTTTACATGCCTTATCAAATTATGATTGGCAAGATCTGAAGTAGTACATCAAAGATAATCACATGATGAGTACTTGCCTCATGTCTCTCATCAGATTGCATAATTTTACGACGTTATAATAGTAACAATTGTCTGTACAGTTGTACCTAGATTTACAGTGCAACAAGGGTTGAACACACATAATAAAAATGGAGGCTGTAAATTAGGAACCCAATGCCCCCTAACACAAACCAACCCAAGCCCAATCCAACCCCAAACATACCTAACGTGAAACAAATCCATGATAAGAACCACTATGAATACCTGTAGTAAGTGGAACATGTTGCCGCAAGCCTTAGCGACGGACGCCATCTTGGCTATGATGGGGAGGTTATGTATGATGAAAGAGACTTCGTTGCGCTGGTTTTTGGCCAGGTTCTGAGCGTGGCCTAGCAGACCAAAGCCGGTCACGTCAGTGGCGCCGTGAGCGTTGTATTTGTGCATCAGCTCTGCAGCTGCAGTGAACAAAATTTCTTTCGTTATTGCATTGAACGGACAAATCAATCAACATTACTAATAGGAATTAGGCTTTGTAAATAAAAATCAGAGTAAGAACACATCCTGGACATGAGATAATTGATGTGATGGTTTAGGCAGAGCATAGAAATACTGTTGAATAAATGTGATTTGGGAAACATTTCATACAATGATACATTGCCTGGTAAGCTGTAATAAATCACTGACTCTCCTTTTGAAGAATCATCAACAATAAATACTTTAGAACAAAGTTGAACCTTTTTTGTTGAGCCTTGCCATGCTGTTCATTGCCCTGTAATACGCTTTCCTGACGTCCTCCTCAGACACGATGAGCTTAATTTTGTTCCAACGCTCAGGCTGGTCAAGCCACTGATGAGCGTTGACGGCCACCTGAGTGCCAAGGGGCTTTGTCAGCACCAGCACATCACCCACCACAGCACCGTCAGGCCTGTACACCATGTAAATCCTTTAGTCCAAATTCAAGATTATCTTATCAATATTTAGTTCAAAATCAACATAATCTATCTCATCAAACATCATATTCTGCCAGAAACGTAAGTTAATGAATGGTAGGGAAGTATACCTATATATTTTAATGTAACGAGATTGCTGGTGGAGAAACTTTCTGGCTCAAAATTTTTGTGTTGGGTTGTATCCTATTAAGTGTATTATGTACTTATGTCCAACAAAATTTCACTATACAATGCTTCTCTCAACTTGAAAATGAATGTCGCTACATTCAAAACGTCATTAATATATTATTATTATTTATTAAATCTGCCTATTAATCTACCAACGTCATCTAAAGAATTGTTAGACTCCTTGAAAATTATAATACATTCTCTAGTCATTAATTGTACGCATATAAACAAGAAAATTCTGCCATCTTATGATAATTTATATATAAATCTACTTGTGCTTACAATTATTGTCTATGGAAGGAATTAACATACATATCAGAAGGTTAACTGCAAGCTTATTAAAATCACATCAAAATGAACAATCATAGAAACTTAGACACATTCTCAATCTGTTTGGAATTTTTTAAAGTTATGCTAGCTTTGAAAGATACTAACAAAAGTTGAGAACTGAGCCACATTACCCACACTTTGTACATATCTATTGACTTTCAAGTCTATCCGATGGAGTGCAAAGCAGTGTAAAATTGCCAGCCCAATTACTCACACTATAAGCTCTGAAGACTGGCAGATGGAGGATGCAACTCCCCCTATGGTACACCAAGGGTTCATGACTGTCTGTCCTCCATTGACACTCGTGTTGGCTTCTGCAGCTGCATCCTGCATGCATACCAATATATTCGTCAATCGTGTATGTACGATATACCAATACAAAATATATATTGAAAAAAAAAACTAATAACTTTACTAGGGAAATCTGGAAAAGAAACACTTCATAAATACTAACAAAATTTCAAGACATGAGATAGGTAATGCATTAAAAACCCACAGGGCCATAATATAAAGTTAGTTAATGAATATTCCATAAACTATGTTATTAAATCAATGATCAATTAATAAAATAAATTGCAAACAAAACATAAAAATCATTTTACACTTAGATATTTTGCCATGCTCTAAAGTGAATATGTGCAATGAAATATATATAGAGCAGGAACAACAAATAAGGTTCTTTAATTCATCAGAACTACTAACCCTGAAGCCTCTGAGCATGAGAGGCACCACAACATCTCTCTCCTTCTCACTCATTTTGGTGGAGACTCCAAGCAGCATTAGCATGTTATCACACTCCGTTACTCCCATAGCATACAAGTCACTTAGAACATTTGCACAAGCTATTTTACCTGAAAAATAATTTTTAGGTAAAAGATCCAATTTGATATTGATTTGATAGATAATAGTTGTTTTAAAATCTGTTCAAGGATTAGTAAGGAAACAGAGAAGAACTACAGTTTATAATTTAGTATCAGAAGTTCAGACCTACAGTTTACAATGGTATGCATCATATTATGTAATAACATGAAGTTAGAAATAAGAATTTGCATAAATAGAGTGAATATCTTGTCATTTCTCTGGTGATAGATAATATATTCAAGAACAAAGCCAGCACAAACTAATAAAATATAAATTTATTTCAGAGATTTATTAGAATGAAGGGATATAATTGAAAAAATTCAGTTACCTTGCATGTAGGGGTCATCAACTAAAGGATAAAAGAAGTCTGTAGTTTGAACTAAGGACAGTCCCGCATGTCGCAGAGGCGTTACACACGAGTCCATTCCAATACCTGAAAAATGTTCTCATTAGAGAATAGTTGATAATATATTTTAAGGACACAAGGTTTCATTCAATATCTTTGATAATTGGTTTGATATATATTGCTCATATACTTAGTAGTAGTTTCCTGATCTTTTGTAAGATTCAAGAAAGAGAGCGAACATAGCCTATATATAATCTCATGACATGAGAGTGATGACTGATGTCTGATGAGACACTCTGACCCAGTGTAATTTATTAGATTTTTAATTTTTTACCTTACTTATACTTATAGATTAGATTTCAGTAATCAGATCAGCAACAGCAAATATCAGGTATATTATCATTAGAATACATAAAATATTTAATAAAATTCATGATATTATATTATTATAATAATAACAGTCAGACGACAGACTGTGACAGTCAGTTTATGAAACCAAATGCTAGCAAATTAATTTCTCAATTCAAGATTTTGAGAACAGTATTACATAATATAGAAAAATAAAATAGGCAAGCATTCAAATAGCCCAAAGCATGCATTTAATATTCATTTCTTAACCATTTATTTATAATGATTTTTGTGGTCCAACTTATCGAACTAGGTAGCCTAGTTATAAGTTAGCCTATGGTTAGGACTTAGGTGTAAGTGAATCAAAAAAAATTATATTGAACAGAGAAAATTTAGCAAATATTCCATTATAAAGTTTATGTGCTAAAAAATAATTAAATTATAGAGTAATAATATACTAACCTATTTTAGTCTGTGGTATGTGCATGTAGTGGGTTTGGTGTGCATGATCGACAGTACTTTGTCCATCATGCAGTCCCTCAAGCAAGCGCGTTAGCACAGCCTGAGGGACCTTACACCCTCATCCTTTCAGATCAGCGAATCTTGTGAGTCGGAAATTTCGGTCCAATTCGTGTGATACAGGATCAAACGGACAAGGAAGAGCCAACGGCAAGGTTGCTGGAGCACCCGTCATCTCAAGTTGAGCAGTAACTGCTAATGCTTCCGCGGCAGTTGTGTGACCTTCCATGAACATCATTAGTAATTAAGAGAAATAAAACACGTATGAGTTCAATTAAATTTCGTTTTCAACACGACCGTTCAGTAAATTTAATACAGAATTAGTGACATTGGAGCACAACTATGAACAGCTGACCCACGGTGTGCCACGAACCGGTCTCAAAATGGCGACTCCCCAAGCAACTGGGACAGCGCAACCCGTGATGATTCAGACAATGTGATTGGAGGAAATCATCATGACGTCAACTTAGGGAGCAGTGAGTTGCACATACAGGGAGCCGGAACAGTGAAGTATATCTTTACTTTACCGGGCAAATTTGAACTTGTAGCTCTGCGGAATTGGCTGCAGATTGTGATCATTATCACATTGACAAGAAAGTAGGAAGCAATCTTATGACAACCAATAGCGTGACACATGGTGCCTACGCTATGACTACTGACAACCTGTTTTGACATGACACCGCTCGGAACTATTTGTGCACAATAAGTTCCTGAGTACGTTGACAGAATTTTTTTATTGCTTGCTCCGACCAGCTCTAATTGCAAAGTTCGTTTAGTGTGCCTATAGTGCTAAGATGCTCATTTATGTGTGGTAAACTTGCTATGAAAAATCGTCCTTAATGTGTCCGAGCGGTGGGTTTCGACACGTATTCGTATAAATTGGAAACCAAGGCATGACAATGACGATGTACTAAATGGCAATACTAAATCATAAAGTGTCGAAAGGTTATATGAATTACCAATTCTGATAATTGCCCAGAAAATGTATTTCAAAAGTAAGTATATAGTTACATTGTAAAACTTCGTGCAGCGTAAATTGATTAAATTTGACAACACTCCTCCTGTAACGTTTTCAAAGGTTTGTCTGTTTACAGTTTAAACTTTTGAAAACATCGTGACAGCTTTACGTCCTCTTAAAAGTTAGACTACAGTTGATCAGTCTGGCTACTCTGGCACTTTGGTGAGACTAAATGTTAAATAACCGTGAATCGCTCTTATTATACTCAACCGGTTTATATTGGAAAAAAATTCACACAACATATTTCAATAGACATATATTAGGCCCAATTGGATGAAATTTAATTCCTTTTTCAAGTTTCAATTTTCCTGGGCTTATAGAGAGATGAAAATATGTATACCTTTATAATATATGCTTGTATCAAAGTTGACGACATCTGTGAACGAGGTAAAAAGTAAAATGTACATCTAGGAACGCCAGATTGATCAAAAAGAGTGATAAAGTATGGAGGCTGCTGCAGTAAAATGAGATTTGCCCTACCCATACCTCTCTAAATTAATGGTAACATGCTGACTGCTCCGGCGACACTTTGAAACGAATTTTCTCGGCAGTTTTCGAAGATAAGTTTATCAAATCGAAACCCATGTTGACCCAATAAAAACACAGCTATTTATTTACAATACTATCCTGTAGGCGTCGAAGAATTTATTGTCCGCTTCGTATTTAGTTAGCACGGCAAACGACAAGCTTTAACAGGTTTTCCCCCGCAGAAGCTTTTCAAATCGAAAACGATGTCGATCTAATTAACAACAAAGCTATTCAACTTAAGCGTGGAAAACAGTATGAAAATGCGTCGCAAAAGTGCTTGAGCGGTTAGGGCTGGCCGCACTGACGTTTAGTTTCTGCATTCTTCTCGTCTGCATTCAAATATGTTCGAAAATGCATGAGCTATAATTGTTTCAGTTAAATTAAACGCAAAAGAGCAACTTAGTTCCCTTAATCTGCATAGAAGTCATTATTAAACGAAAGAATAATTGCCTACTTAGGATTTATAAATCTAGTTTTTTAAACGTCTTTTGAGGAACTAAGTGATTCTAAATTCATTTTTTAGTTTCGAACTGATTTAAAGGACAAGGTTTAATAACGTCAGTATATATCTTTATTTTGCCTTGCAATGCGCGGTTGAAAAAATTGGCCCTTGAACGTGGTTGTGTTTACGCGTAGTCATGTGAGGCTGCATTGTGTGGCTCACGGCTACCTAGACAGCGGGCGACTCGACACTAACTGGGCATTAGCCTTACGGCAGTCGTGAGGTTGGTATTGCACTGTGTTGTTTCGTCAAGGCAGACCTGAATCCAGATCTTCTCATACGCGAAGCGTCTGCATCAGGTAAAGTATACAGTTATACTCTATTTTCTTTGCTACTAATGAAAGATTTTGGCGTTCGTTTCTAACTGTTCTTACACTGGCACAGTTTTGCACGTCAGTGACTAACATTGTTCATGCATCTAACTCTAAGTAGGGTATAATCGAACACACGTACCTACTGCTCACGATCGCACATTCTCTTTCAGCTCCATGATCTGACGACTACTTGAATTGATTCTCTTATAAACAAAGAAGGTATTATTGCAGATTAACTACATCCAAAAAAAAGGGTGTTTTTTTTTTTAATTATATGTTTTTTGGGGTGTAGATTACGAATCTGAAATCCATTTTTGGCGGTCGGCATCGGAAAACCGATTTTTTTCTAAATCGGTTTTCCGATGCCGACCGCCAAAAATGGATATCAGATTCGTAATCTACACCCCAAAAAACATATAATTAAAAAAAAAACACCCTTTTTTTGGATGTAGTTAATCTGCAATAATACCACAAAGAAATTAGTTTTCTGAATGTAGTGGTACAGTAATCTTGTCTTTCAAACGAAAGAATCTCAGAACTGGCATTATCACCAAATTTCACCAATCCCAGCCTCCCAGGAACTCGCAATTTGGTAGTTGGCGTCCGCGATTGAGTGTTGTTGACACGTGCTAGAGCCATATTTTAAGAACTACTAGAAAACTAACATAACCTAATTCTAACAAATTATGTTACTCCAACGTCTCGCAAATAAACTATTCATTAATCATTATTATTGATTATTTACATTTAAAATTTTTGAAATTTCGACGTTGACAGCGATGGATATTTAGCCCACTTCAAATCCAAATCGTGATCAATATAGCTACCTATTGAATATCAGTTGCTGAATCTGTTCTACTATCGTACTGTTGGGAGTCATCTACACAGTTTAATGTAGTTTCATTTTTTCAAACAAACAGACATTATTATATTGATGCCACTATTAAATATTGTCAAGTTATCACACTTTCTGGATACGTTTAGAATTAGAAACATTCAATACTATTGCATATTCGGATATTCCCTACCGGTCGCCATTGACAAGTTTGTATTTGGTGGAGCACCCTGGAGACGCACAGAAAGACCAGGACGGAATAATTAAGAAGGCTACCATTTTGTTTCTATCGCATTTGTGTCGAACATAAATTATTCGCTATAGAGTGCGAATAATGTCAAATAGAGAACAGCATTTTTATTATTGTCAATCATGCGCGTTGGAAGCCGCTATAACAATAAGCCTCTATCATTATGCTTCAAGCCAAAAACGTTAAGAGCAGAACCGTTTGTCCATTTTGCCTCTTTTTCCCATTCTCGTCGAATTCACGTGAATATAAGGAATAAAAAATTCATTAAGATAAAACAATTACTTCCAAATTAGATTTCGTTCGGGAAGTTTTAGAATGCATTTGAGAGGCAGCCGCGCTTGCCGGGTAGTACTTTTAACGCCTTCCATGCGATCGTAACACTAGGAAAAAATTAGATCAGTACTCACTGCAGTGAGTGACAGAGTGCTCATTTTCTCGTCGACGAAAACGTGAAGTCACAGACGGACGGACGGACAGACAGACAGATGGACATGGCGAGCACAATAGTGCATTTTTTCCATAAATAACGCCTTCCATGCGATCTTAACACTAGGAAAAAATTAGATCAGTACTCACTGCAGTGAGTGCAACAGAGAGCGCATTTTCTCGTCGACGAAAACGCGAAGTCACGGACGGACGGACAGATCGACATGGCGAGCACAATGGTGCATTTTTTCCATAAATGAGAAAATGCGCTAAAAATTAGATCAGTACTCACTGCAGTGAGTGACAGAGCGCATTATCTCATACGTAGATCAGTTTTCATTGCGATAAGTGCAGCGGGCAGGCCTCTTTTTCCATAAATGAGAAAATGCGCCAAATGTGAAGTCACGGACGGACGGACATGACGAGCACAATAGCACCTTTTTCCATAAATGAGAAAATACGCTAAAAATGATTGGTTATGTTTCCAAATAGCGACGCACTTTTTGCACTATAGCACCGAAACACCTTTTTACCGGGCACAACTAAGTCGGGATGACCCACACAATCGCTTTTGGACAGTCTCACTCATATTTCAGAGTGCTTGTGTCGCAGAACCATCAAGTCTCTCGCACCAAGTCAGCCAGCTTAATTGCGCCTGAGCGCGCACCTGAAGCTCCATTATTTTTGAGGATCTCCTTACTGATAAGATAATAACCACTCATTTATATCACAGCAATTTATCTCTCAGTTGTCTACTGTTCTTGGTGGCGAAATAAGCTCTGTTCAGTTTCGACTTTGTCGAATCAGTGTCATGCCTCCTGTGTGGTACAATTAACTTGATCGCGGTTGTTAACTTTCTTTCGGTGCGGCCGGTTCCCACTATTACAATTTTCGTATTGATAATTAATTATTGATGCTTAAATTTTGCAAATGTTATCCCGTCAAACTCTCGAAAGTATATTATTGTGATATTCAGTTTGAAATGCGGGTTGGAGAAATGTTTTTGAATCTGCGTAGTAAAGTAAAATGTAAGGAAGGGGACCTCCGTAGATTATTACCTACCGGTTGATATGACATGTGGTTACGAAGGTTTCCGATCTAAATTAATAGTTTTAATTCACTTTGAATTGAATATTTTTCAAATCAAAACGAAACTGAGAATGCCATGTGATGGCCATGCGAGCGCAGCTATTAATAAAAATGAACAGAATTAAGTTTAACATATTTAAGAGATTTAATTGAGCATGGTTCGTTTAGTGTTTAAAGCTACGTTATCATGCCTCGGGCAATTACCAAGCCTCTGCTAATCATTCTCCCAAGCAATACCCTCTAAAACGCTGAATAATTAAAATATGACATCTGCAAAAGAGTTGTTGCTCAAACGCAAGCAGCGATGCTTGTAACGATTTTTTTAAATCACGAAATAAAAAATTATATATACAGCGTGAATTTATATCAGCAACTTAATGATACCGAATCACATTGAAGGCACATTTTAATTTGATATTAGCTGGTTCAATTACGTAATACCTATATCGAACGTTTTGAGCATGGTGACCTGATTTGAGAAATTCTTCAACTGCGATTTGCGCATTCAATCGACGTAATTTTGGGAAATGCGTATTAGTTGATGTTTCTTGGAATTCGAGGCACTTTCTTGCACTAGCCTCAGAATTTAAATTTTTGCTTATTTCCACGTTTACCGTTGCAAGAGTTGAATTATTTGTAACCATGACGCATGATTTGTATGCGAAATATTTTACCTCTCCTCTATAAGAAGATTGTATGCTTTTTTATTAGATAGAAAAATGAGTTTCAGCTTTGTGTACAAAGAGAAATTAGTGCAAAATACCGCCGTTTATAACTTAATTATAGACGAGTTTAACCGAGTACAATTAGTGTATTAACGTCAAAATGTCGACTGTTACGAGCTTCACGGACTTGGACAGGTCAGTTCAACGATAAGATGTTTGTTGACGTTCTGACTTGGCATTGATTATTAATTAAACCCAGTGATTTTTATTTCACAATAAGCTCGCTAAGTGGAAAATGTTCCCTTTCCTTCCTGCTATAAAATTTACTTCTTCTAGAGATATTGGAATAGAGAAACAGAAATCTTTAATCAAGATTTCGGCACAAGATTATCCATTTCTCCTCGATTACCTAGCCCGAAACGTGCACATTAATTTAATATTACGTTAGAATTACTTTGTGTCTCGAGCTACATTCAAAAGTCGAAGCAATTCATACTCAACAGGCATCTGACTTTGAAATGAAAATAACGTTGTATTAACGTTGTTTTAACGAAATCTGCTCGTAGTCAACGTTGTTTTATCGTCATTTTACTGGAGAGTAACATGGAAATTGATGCAGTGTATGTGTCCAAGTTACTTCGTTAACTTACTTCAAAAGTTGTGTGGCCGCCGATCCCCACTAGAAGAAATCCTGCACTGAACCAAAGATTACACGCGCACCAGTTATGTGTTTATTATATCTAATGCTCCGTGTGATGTGTCCATGTGTCGCATGGGAAAACAACACACGGAGGACCTCATTGATGATTTTATAACTACTTCTTTCCATATTTTTTCTCGTAGACGTGTAGTTTACGCATCAAAAAATACCATCATTGAGTACCAGACATGCTGTTTATTGCGGTATTTAGGTCAAGCACTACAAATTGGTCGTATAATGATGACTGTGCAATACGGTAACCTGCTCAAACATTTTCTATCTGAATCATATTTAAGCTCGATGGGATGTTGTAAAACTTAGCAAAAAAAAAAAAAAAAACGTAAACTGGCGGTGAATGGGCGAAATAGCGGGTCGTTTGTTTAAAAAATTCAGGTCGATTTTGGATCGATTTCTGGATTCCCACCGCAATCTCTTAATTGTCATGAGCCATTTGAGGTATGGATTGACTGATACATATCGAGCTATGTTATTCGAGCTAACAAATCTAATCATAATCATCAATTGACATGAATCATTTGATAGGTTTTTATCCGTTTGAAATTGTTGATCGTTAGGTTTTATGTTCCTTGGTTTTTTCTTCATTTGCCAGGTTTTCTCCTTCTTCGTTTAAATTAGGCTTTTCTGATTGTCTCTTGTATTATCTAAATTTTAGAACTGGTGATAAGCTTGTCACAAAACACTTCCGATGGTGTCAGTGATCCGTCCGTGGCAGAAATGGGCGATGAGAGAATATTAATCATTTAACATTAATAATTTTATTAATTATAAATATCGTGTGCAGTGATCCGTCCGTGGCAAAAACGGGCGATGAGAGATTATTAGTCATTTAATATTAATAATTTTATTATTAATAAATATCGTGTGCAGTGATCCGTCCGTGGCAAAAACGGGCGATGAGAGATTATTAGTAATTTAATATTAATAATTTTATTATTAATAAATATCGTGTGCAGTGATCCGTCCGTGGCAGAAACGGGCGATGAGAGAATATTAATAATTTTACCATTAATAATCATGTGCAGTGATCCGTAAGTGGCCGAAATGGGCGATGAGAGAATAATAATCATTTAATATTAATAATTTTACGATTAATAATCGTGTGCAGTGATCCGTCCGTGGCAGAAATGGGCGACGCGGTGCGACCGTCGACGCAGAACAGCGGCCGCGAGGCGTGGAGCGGCGGCCGCAACAGGGGCGGCGGCCCGCCCGCCCTCACCGACAAGAAGGCCCTCGTGGGCGACGAGGATTTCGTAGGCGAAGTCGAACCCAAAAAGGGATGCTGGCCTAAGTTCACGGAATGCTTCTGTGGTGAGTTTTATTCTAGTTTAGAGCTATATTTTAATGGATTTTGGAATAATACTAACATCACTAACTGCTTTAAGGACGTAAGTATTTATATAATACTCCTAATTCTAACTATTGAAATGCGAACTTCTTAAACTCAATTTGGTCGGTTGGTTAAGACCATTGAGACAAGAGCAGCGAGTTGGGGGGTTTTGAAACTCGCAACTAGTTGTGGAACTCGATCTGGTCAAAACAGGCAAGATGGTCAAAACAGAGAATAAGCGGCAAATGAGTGGCTCCAAACAAGTTGACATCACTATATTTCTTTGTTTTTTCATATAATATTATTATTAAAGTGCGGATACCGATGCCGACCAACTTGCCCAATGGAACTCGTTTTTCGTGATTTTGTTTAGCCTTGTACAGGAAACGAAAAATAACTGTGTCAATCAGTAAAAAAAGTATGCCTGGCCTCATCAAGTCACATAGTTAATTCGTTCGTAAATGGATATGAAGAACACTCATTGCAAGTATTGGGAGCTACCGGCAGGTGAGTGCAGTGTTGTAGCAACGATGCAAAAGTTTGTCCTGCTGGCAAATGGAAGTCTCTGGGTGCCATGGTGACACCTGACAACATCTCATCTTGCATATTATCAGTGCGACTCTTGTTGAGGTCTTCTCGTTTTAATCAACTGATTATTCGATTACTTTGAACGTGTAATGACATTTTCTATTACATTTTGGACTGCTTCATTTAATATTGAAGATAAAAATATTTGCAATATGGAATGGAATGCAAATCATTAGATTATTTATGTTTTGAATAACGTTACGCGCTCACAGAGACAGTGAGATTAACCTTTTACCTTCTCTCGTACGGTTCCAATTCCGAATTTTATTATAAAACTTGAAAAAAGTACCGACGGCTCATATGACGTCTTTTAACTTGCTGGTCGCTCTGGCGCTGAATGTTGCGTTTCTTACACGCTTCTTAGCTCGTGCTGCATCCTTGTTCCTGGCTCTCAAGTTCTTCCTAGCTCTCAAGTTCTTTCTAGCTCCTCGTTCATTGATCCTAGTTGTTGATTCTAGCCTATAATTCTTTTTAGCGTTCGTTTCAACTTCATGACAAGTTAATCCAAACCATCAAATAATATCAGTTATCTGTTCATCCTAGTTCTCATTTAATATTAGCGCATATATAGTTCATGCCAGCTTATTATTTGATCTCAGCCTTTGGTTCATTCCTGGCCCCCAAAGGGCCTGTTCAAATTAACGCAGCCATATTTGTTCATTCTCGCGCATATTTCATCCAAGCCTTTGCTTTATCTCATCCCCCAGTTATTTAGATGGTCTGTTTCATCCCATCATCCCGCCCCTTGGTTCATGCGCATGAAGGCTCTCACTTCCTCACTATACGCATCCATGCGCTCTCCTGTAGTTGTTCCATCGATCCTTCCAAGGCTGCAGGATCGCTCCTTTTTCACTGTTGAGGTTGCCTCATAAACGCTAAAGAAATGGAACCTTAGCCAGACCATGAAATCGACTCCCCTTACAAAATTCGGGCACCGCCTAGGCTTCTGTTCAGGAGTCGCTACATTCGGCATAGAGTTTTTCTGGGTCTACTTGGCTACCCGATGGAAGTCATCGTCTTGGCAGAATCTCCTTTCCGACTTTATAGTCTCGTGAGAGTATAAGAATTGGGTTAACCAGCCGAGTTATACCGAGCTTGTAAGCTACTCATAAGTTGTAATTCAAATACATGCCGAAGCGGATACTATATACAGTATAGAGCGGCTGATTCTCGTGTGAGTCCCAGGCGGCACCAATATCAGAGTCTGACCCGCTTCTAAATTTTGTTAGGGTCATTGAATGTAATGCATTCCCTCCTTTACGTGGAAATGACTAATGTATTTATATTTTTCTTCCTTTTTAATGTGTTCTAAAACTTTGTTGACACTTGTCACAAAGAGCTCCTCGAAATGTTTCTGTTTAGAAGTTAACAACATAGTTTTATTTGTTCTTCAATTACGTGAATCACCAGTGTGTACTGAGCATTTTTTGTATTTTACTAAGCGATGGCGACTGCACTATTTATCAATCATCAGTGCGGCTTAGATAGTAGATAGTTAACGCCAATTCACTCAGAAGCCTATATGCCTCAGTTGACTCAGTTCAACGTCAGTGGGATATTTACAGCGCATTTCAACCATTGACGTCAACCAGCGGTTATGAAGGCCAAGTTTAGCGATCAACGAGAATTCGCTGTTTACTCGCAGTTTTACGCGATAGCCTCTTTGATAAACTCTCGTCAGGTTAAAGAACGCACTTCAATTTGCAGTTTTTAGGGCCATGGCTTGAAGATTTCTATCGTAGTGTAGTCATGCGATGCTAGTCGAGATCGCCAATCATCGATTATTGGCTGGTGCAGCCCTGTATAGGCGAAAGCTCAAGGCACCTCTGCATATGTTCCCGCTCGGGTAGTGAACACGGAACATATTTTTAGGTACCATGTATTTCACTAGCCGTTGAAAAAAACGGACCAATCTGAGTAGGTACCAGTTTGGAACAAATTTGAAAAAAATTATTTTTCAGGCTCGTAAACAAGTACCTAGTATAAGAGTGTGAAATTTTTAATTTCAGAAAAACCTTTAATTACATCATGCGTTTATGTTGAACTGAAATGTTTAAACGAGTTTGAAAATATATTTCATTACCCTAGTAGGTATGAGGTCACCAGTAAGATTTCAATGCATATACTATACAGCCAAGGCCAACCGCCGAAAATGATTGCACATGCCATTGATTGATCAATAACATGACCGCTAGTTGCTGCTGCCAGGCGCGCCGCGACTAGTTAAGGCCTCATCTACGAGCATATGTTAAATTTTTTCAACAGGCAATTGAAAAAAACAACACAGCTCTTATGACCAAATCTTCACTTCTTGCCGTACATGAGAATTACCCTCAGTCATTTGTGGTGGGGAGAGTCGATTTACGTTATTTTCTCGTTGATTTGCCTATATATCGTCAGCTGTGCTGTCTAAGTAGTTAGGTTGCTGCACGTGTCTGTTAACGCATCGTCATCGGAGGCCACTTCACAAATTTAGATGAGGTTCAATTTCGGGAGCATTTTAATCCGCAAAATCTCTCATATTCCACAAAACAATTCTCAAAATAAATGTAAAGAATCAATTCCATAGGTCCGGTATTATTTTAGGCATTGATAGGTACGTGGCAGTGCAGCGGGAAGTGAGATGTTGGTGTCGTTGCCACGACTCCGCGCCGAGCGCCCTCGCGTGCCTGACCTCTGCTGACGTCACGCATCGATTCGTGACGATCAACTGCAAGATACGAGTGTTTACCAGTGCACAGGCCCTACGATATTCAGCGAGACGAAGCGTTATTCAGGATAGATTCATTTATACTTGACATGCAAAAACTTCAACTTATGCGCACTGGCCTAACGATACCTATTCAGCGCGATGAAGCGTTGTTCAGGATATATTCATTTACTTGACTTGCAGAAATTTCAACATATATGCGCGCAGGCTCAACGATAATCAGCGCGACGAAGCGTTATTCAGGATATATTCATTTACTTGTCATGCAGAAACTTCAACTTATGCGCACTGGCCTAACGATATTCAGCGTCGACGAAGCGTTATTCAGGATGGATTCATTTACTTGACATGCAGAAACTTCAACTTGTGCGCACTGGCCGAACGTTATTCAACGCCATGAAGCGTTATTCATTATAAATTCATTTGCCTGACGTGCAAAAACTCCGTTTAAGTTGTTGATAATTGATTAGGTAATTAATAGTGGTTGATCTTCGTCTGTAGGCTGACGTTGACTTCAACAAATGATCAGAAATTCATCAATTATATCGTTTAAAGCGTAACTAGTGCTCTATTGGTAGCTCCGAGTTTAGTATTTCGATGTTAGCAATACATGCTTATGCTATCACGATCAGTGGCCGAGTGGGTCTAGGATCATCAAGATTAGAGCAGCGAGTTAGAGGTTCGAAACCCGCAACTAGTTGTGGAAATTCTGGCCGGTAATGTGGCCGGGTGAAAAATCGCCTACATATGTACAGGCCAACATGGCCTAGTGAATACTGACATCATTATATATTATTATTTTATAAACTCGCATTACATAGAGAGCCGAAGATTCTATTCAGTTTCTGCATCACATTAAGCACCTAAGTTAACAGCGCCCGCACGATGTTCGGTCGCTTAGTAGATTCTCAAAGTTCTTGTAATGTCTTCAGTTCTCAGAAGTGAGTAAGGCGTGTGAATCTCATCCTGTCGTCTTCCTATTTCGTTTTTTTTATCACGTTATGTATCTGGGAAATGAAATATGCTGCCGTTGTTCGTGTTTGTTTTGAAATCTTTGTCTAATTTAAAAATGTGTCATTGTCACGAATGTTATTGAGCGTTTTTTATGCTTGTAAGTGATTATTATTATTCGTTATTATACATATACTTGTATTAAACTTGTATACTTTCATATCTCACCCTCCCTTTCCTCGCTCAGGGTTTAAGTGAAATGAAATCAGTGTTTTATTTTTTACACGTACAGGCATGTGGGCCACGCGTCAGATGACCAAGAGCGACGACAGGGAGGTGTACGTGAGGACAACTCTGCGCGAGCTCGTCGTCTATTTGCTCTTCCTCGTCATCCTCTGCATCAGTGAGCCAAATGACCATACTTATGTCCTTGTATGAACCAGCAGCCCGGAGTTGCCTGATGAAGATTATCTTTGCAATTTGAGAATCACGTTATTCTGAAGCTCACCATTCTGAACTCCGTCATCCCGACGTCATCATTCAGAGTTTATTTAATTGTTCAATGACGTTTGAACTAAAAGACTGCACTGATTCGGAGGCATCAAAAGCGTCTCCGACAATTATCAAACCAACGTTCATTTTTTATTTGTTCAGTGACTTTTGAATTGCAAGACTGCACTGATTCATATGCATTAAAGGTGTCTTCGACGTTTGTTAAACCAACGTTCATTTTTTATTTGTTAAGTAACTTTTGAACCATAAAACTGCACTGATTCGGAGACATTAAATGCGTCTCCAACGTTTGTCAAACGAACCTTTATTTTTTATTAGTTCATTGACATTAGAACCGTAAGACTTCCGCGATTCGGAGACATTAAAGGCGTCTCCAACGTTTGTCAAACGAACGTTTATTTGCCCAGTGACGTTTGGCTCGGCGTCGACGTCCATGTACTACTACACGAGCGTCCTGACGAACCTCTTCCTGGACACGCCCTTCCCTGACGACAACACCGCCTCCTTCAGGCAGGCTGCTGTCCTCTCTGACGTCTGGGACGTGAGTGCCTTCTCAACTATAGTATAGTCAGAGCTGGGCAGCGCTACTTGGAAATGTAGCGGCGCTACCGCTACCGCTACATGCTCTAAATGTAGCGGGCGCTACCGCTACCGCTACACCCACTAGATTGTAACGGGCGCTACCGCTACCGCTACAGTAAAATGTAGCGCGCTACATTAGCCTATGTTGACACTAGTAACAGGCTGAGGTTGACAACATTACACCGAAATCTTTCGTACAGTTTTATTCTGTAATTTATATTATGTATGTATCATGCTGGTTTTTGAATAATATTTAATACTATTAAGGGGACCGGCTACCCTAAAAATCGGAAATTTTGCCTTTACCGTTTTCTTGAATCATTTTGTAGCTGCTGAAAAGGCGCGTCTAACGCAGTTTACCGCATGCCTGTGCGTGCTATAATTTTTGCGTAAAACAACTTTAAAAATATATATATGAACATTCTTTAACAATATGTACAAAGATTTATTTGAATTAAATCTGTAAATATAGATCATTACTCTCGTTAATTACAAAGTGTTTGCACTCGTTTGAAAGCTACAAACGAGACGCGTTCAACAAAGCTACTACGTTACCATAGATGTACATGCAATACTTTAGTGTAATGCAGTCTTGAACTTTTAAAAAATGATCATTTTATATCATTATTTACAAATAAATGGTATTTATACGTCATTATTTAGATTAATTGCGAAGTGTTTGCACTCGTTCGAAAGCTATAGACAAGACGCGTTTAACAAAGCTACTACCATGGATATTCATGCAATAGTTTTTGCGTAATGCAGTTGTAAAGTTATGTAAAATGAATATTTTATGTATATATTTATTTATAAAAAGTCCCTTTTATAGCCTATTATTCACGTTAAATTGAACATAAATGCGTCTAAAGACGTGTGCTGGTACCTTGAATATCAAGACTTTTTGGGCATATTCTTCTGTTTTCCATGAATCTTACTTTATTTGGCACCCCTGAACAATTTCAAAATAAAAAAACGCCATCTTAAAAAAATTATAACTCCAACAGTTTTTAATCTACGGCAATGAGAGACATACGATTCGATTTGTAAAAAAAAAAAATTTAATTTATAAAATCATTTATTTTGACATTTGATTCATGCATTGTCTCCAACTTTACACAAGTCTGCAAAATTTCAGATCAATAGGATACGTAGAAGTGTATTAAACTTTGATTACAAGATTTGTAGCAGACAGACAGACAGACAGACAAACAAGAAGTGAAGTTAAAGAGAAGTGTTGTAAAAACAATACCTAGCGAGTCTAGAAGCCTTTTTTTTAATATGTGCATGGTTTGACTTATATATGGGAGGGGGAGGAAGGTTGGGGGGAGGGGGTAAAAATGTGAAAAAATGGGAAAAACGCGAAAAAAACGACGAGGAAAATAAAAAATCGGGGCTCTACAGTCGCTAGATATTGTTGTTACAAATCGAATGATATGTGTCTCGACATTGTAGCAAGTGATTTGCAAAAAGTTATAAACTTATTTAGAGTACCCCTTATTTGCCGTTTTCTATTAATTCCACTTTTTCTTTCATTTTTTTATTAAATTTACATGAACAAAAAGGTCTTAGATTTCTGTTTTACATCTGTGTACCAAGTTTCAAAACGATCCGTCTGTAAACAAAAAAGTTTTGTTGGAGGGTAGCCGGTCCCCTTAAGTAAAATCTAAAGGCTTTATCTATAAATGTAGCGGTAGCGCTGTAGCGGCAAAACCTCGTATCGCTACTTAAATATGTAGCGGGCGCTACCGCTACCGCTACATTGCCTTAAATGTAGAGCCGCTACCGCTACCGCTACTGAACATGTAGCGCGCTACTGCCCACCTCTGAGTATAGTATAGTTAGTATAGTATAGTATAGTAGGGTATAGTATAGTATCTTTGGCATTGAAGAATAGGCCTGGATAGGCCTGTCGCCGATTCTTGTACTTTTCTTGACTAGTTCGCAGATCTAAAAGACTGCGAAGTTTTTCGCAAAGACTTGTGATCGAACCATTTCAACGGATGGTAGGTTTAAAATCGTTTCTTACTACGCTAAAATTATACTGAATGTATGTAGGTACAGTTTTACCTAATCAGCATGGCTAAAGTTAATTATTTTCTCCTACTTCCAAGGCGAAACTCGTTATTTTGTTATTTATTTTCTGCTGATATATCACGCTTGCAAATTCTACGTTGAGTTTCACCTCAGTTCTACGAGAACGTGATGTTGGACGGACTGTACTGGGAGAACTGGTATGACGCTGAACAGTCGCCCACTGCACCTCAGGACCGCAACATTCTCTACGAGAACCGCCTGCTGGGGTTGCCGCGAGTCAGACAGGTTGTCATTCTTTACTTTTATGTTAATTTCTATATAGTCGTAATCAAAATATTGATGTTACATGTTTGCTGAAATTGCAAGTTTAATAAATAAAAATTTTAAAGCAAAGAATAGTCCACAAAAATTCATATATTTATAGAAAACGTTTCGGAGTCCAGCTCCATCGTCAGTTCGTAGAATCTAGAATTTATATAGAGAGTCACAAATTAATACAATTAAAAGCACAGAACGCAATTAAAAACAAATTTACAATTACTAGAACACAAAAACCTATACCTATATTCACAATTTTAAGGGGATAGGAACTAAGAGCTTAATTCAAACTGGACTCAAGTTTAAAAATGTACAAGGATTCTAAAATACGCAAATCTGAAGTACCGGAGGTGGAAGCTAACACTCTAAAGTCACTGTCAGAAACGGGGACATCACACTGCTCGGCGTGAATGCACACAGCCGAATGAGGGGGGCGCGATAGCAACGGTCCGGTTCTACAACTCCTGCTCATATGCTCAGCGACCCTGGAATAAAGATTGCGTGACGTCATCCCGACGTACGCAGATGCACATTGTGTACAACGAAATTGATAAACCAGGGACGATCGCATATGAGCAGGGAACATATCTTTATATCTAAAGAAAGAACCGATTTTAAAACTGTTTACCAGAACAACATGAAGTTTGACGTTTGGAAAGTATCTTCGCACAAGACTCTTAATTATCTTGACATAGCTTCGGACGCAGGGCCGAAGTATGGAAAATAACAATAAATAACGTTTTTACGTTTTTACTATCGCGCTCGGGAGCAACCTCGCTGTATCGCTTCGACATGAATTTCTTGACTTGGGTAAACACCAAATTTGCCGGAAATCCATTAAGCGAGAAAATATTGCGTAAAAATTAAAACTCAGCGTGCATAGCATGGTATATAGAACAAGTGCGAGAACCTCTGTGTAATAATGCTCGCTGTAATATTGGCTCACGCCTCGGAATTTTTCCGTATTGTCTCTTTATAAATTTACATATGAGCAGTGGTTTTAAATTGTTTAATTCTTACAGGTAAGAGTGACGAATAACTCGTGTGAAGTGCACGCTGATTTCAAGAATGCCATCCGTCAGTGCTACGCTCCATACGACGACAATAAAGTCGACAAGCAACCATTCGGCAAAATGGACAACACTTCAGCGTAAGCCACTGATGAATACCATCAATTTTTTTGTTGAGAACGCCATGTGGATTAAAAATAGATTCATTAATTTTGTACTTCTTAATGTTAAGAATTCATTGCTTCTGCAGGTTTACTCTTAATGTTGGCGACGCTTGGATCATGAGCAAAATGCATGTGTTGCAAATTGAATGCTGTAAACTTCACTAACATAGGATTATTATATTGCATTTTCCTAATAATAGCTAAAGTATATTTACACCTAACTTGATAGTTTTCGAGAAGGTTTCATCTTGTGCGGCAAATTATAAATTTTCATCGAGCATAGCATGATTATGTTAAGATTCGCAACCGGCAATGGCGCATTCGCTGTTTATATAGAAAGTAATTTCAATTTCTTCGAAAAATGGACCTTCATAAACGCCTATTCATAATCACGCGCATGTCTAATACATGTAAAATAATTAAAAATTAAGAAATTCTGCCTCAGGTGGAGCTATTCGTCGCAGCAGGAGCTGAACGGCTTCGCTCACTGGGGCAAACTTGCCACGTACAGCGGCGGCGGGTCATATAAGGTCAATGGTAACGATGATGCTGCTGATAAACTTGCGTGAATGATAACGAATGATGCTTTTGATGAACCTGCGTGAATGATAACGAATGATGCGTCTCTTCTGATAAACCTGCGTTAATTATAACGAATGTTGCTTCCTACTAACCAGCGCGAATGATGGCGAGTGATGCGCCTGAGTACAACATTGTTTCATATAGGAGAAGAAGTTTAGATAATTTCTCACAATCATTAATCATTAAATGGCATTGGTAGCGAAATAATACTTTCTTTACTAACTACAAAAATGAATAAATGGGTAATACTGTCCTAATAGTGCGGTACTTTTTGTACATAGCATTGATGCGCCCTTTTCTTCGCGCCAAACTTGGTCGGTACGCCAAACACATCGGCGAAAAAAGCTGCGCATTTTGATATTATTCCCTGTTTCTTCCTTATTTCTCTGCCTGTTTTTTCCCCTCATTTTATTGATTGTAATGATTTGATGTGCAGAACTTGGCTGACAACAAGAATGAATCGAAGGCCATCTTAGCAGATCTCCGCAGCAACCTTTGGATCGAACGTGGCACCCGCGCCGTCTTCTTGGACTTCACCGTCTACAACGCCAACATCAACCTCTTCTGCATCATCAAGTGAGTCAGACAACGCCAACAGCAACCTCTTCTGCATCATCAAGTGAGTCAGACTACGCCAACATCAACCTCTTCTGCATCATCAAGTGAGTCAGATAACGCCAACATATCATAGTGATGCTGGCACTGAAGAATAGGCCATCAACCTCTTCTACGTCATCAAGTGAGTCAGAGAACCTCTTTTGCATCAAGTAAGTCAGACAACGTCTATAACGCCAACCTCAAGCTCTTCTCCGTCAAGTTGTATTGGTTTCAGCGTTTATTAGGCCGTAGGCCTGTCGCCGATTCTGATCATAGCAGAACGTTCACAGCTTGTTGCGGGCGTGAACTCGCAACTCACTTCATAAAATTTTCTTTGCTTAACCGCCCGGCCTCCTCGCCGACTCTGACCAGAAACTGGCGCACAGAGCTGGGATCGAACCCGCACCTCTCTGCGCCAATCTTGGTACTCTGAACTTTAAGAACTGGTTAAAGTTACCATTCGTTATCGATCGTCAATTGATTTGTTTCTAACTTGGTGCAATTCTTGTTTCGTTTCTACTTAATTTGTCTATGAGTTGCATCATAGTACTATGTTTACGTGTTGCTTTCACGTCGTGGGACTGTACTATAAATACTCGTACATGCAGCGGCCTAAGTAGTACCCATAGCGGCCCATGTACGTGTAGCGTTTGAAGTACACGTAATGGTCAATTTATTGTATAAAATTGTTAGGTTTAGCAGTCAGTGATCTGATGGAATTACGAACTCGTAAATATTTTTTGATATTACAGCCCCTTGTACTTACAGGCTGGTGTTTGAGCTGCCGGCGACCGGAGGTGTGATCCCGTCGTGGACGTTCAGGACTGTGAAGCTGCTGCGCTACGTCTCCGCCTTCGACTACTTCATCATGGCGTGCGAGTTCATTTTCTGCTTCTTTATCCTCTACTACTTGGTTGAGGAGGCCATCGAGATATCCGTGCTCAAGTGGTCCTACTTCAAGACCGTGTGGAACATCCTCGATCTTTTAGTTATTCTCGTGAGTACCCGAACAAATGTTCCAGTATGTAGTATGAAGTGAAGTTCAAGTATATGAAAATAAAGGTCAAGTATACTGAGATAACATGAAGTATCAAGTTAGGCACTTTGTATCATGTTATTTTTTGGTAACTATTCTTTTTTAATTTTCCTAGTTTATTTTCAAATTATACAATTACCTTTCATGTCATCGCATATGTGGGTATCAGCCTTACATTTTGATTAACAAAGTATCGTTTGCATGCGACGTTTATTTGGTTTACCTTCCACGTGGCGACCTTTTAAAAAATATATTTTTGAAGGTCGCCACAAAAATATTCATCAAAGCTGGTACATGAATATTTTTTGCCCTATAGGAATGAATGATAGTGTATTTTTGGTTTATTTATAGTTTATACTGTGGAGTAATTCAATCTTTAACTTCTTGTGTCGACAACTTGAGTGAGTTATTTGCTTTTCACTTCATACGGTTGGTATCAAGCAGCTATGCAGTATCTACGGGTCTGTTGAACAATTTTTTTACGTAAAAAACTTTTATGTCGTTGAACAAGATCTTTTATTTTTTCAAATAAATCTTGTATTTTGTCGAACAAAATCTTAAAATTTGTTAATCAAAATCTCGTATGCTGTCACAAAATCTTGAAATTTACCGAATAAAATTAATATTTAGTTGATACAAATTTTGTATTTGATGAAAAAATCTTATATTTATTCTTCGAAAACTTATATATCTGTTTAATTTTCTTATGTTCGTGATATGTTTTTAACATGATTGTCGCGACAGCTCTCCCTTGGGTGCATTGGCTACAGCGTTTACTCCACCATGACGATCTCGGGGAAGCTGAAGGAGATTCTCCACGACCCGAACGACTACGCTAACTTCGAAGTTCTTGGATATGCCGCGGTTTGTAATAAATACCAAACCATACCTAATATAATAAATACCAAACCATGCGCTAAAAATGATCATTCGTTTGCATTGTTACGAGTAAAACTCGATGTACTTGTGCTTGTATATGAAACCATTACGATCCGTGATAACCATGCGCTAAAAATGATCATTCGTTTGCATTCTTACGAGTAAAACTCTATGTGCTCGTGCTTGTTGTTAAAATAGTCTACTTTTTTGATTTTGTAAGCCTTTTTTCAAGTTACAGAGATGATGATGTTTTCCGAGCAAAATTTCTCACCTGAACTTCAATCCGCAGGAATTTTTCGAATTTGTAGCAGCAGGTTCTTAAAATTGTCAACATTGAATAGAATGTAATTGTCGGCGTTGAAGAAATAGGCCCATGGCCTGTTGCCGATTCTTGAACTTTTCGTGACTTGATTCACAAGGGATCCGGCCTTTGGAACCCGATCTTTCCATAACTGACGATTGATTGAGACAGCTGCTTGGCTTATTGCCTGGTCCGTAATTTGCTAGGCATTTTAAGACTGAACATATGCTCCTGCATTGCTTCGTCTGGACTTATTGCCTGGTCCGTAATTTGCTAGGCATTTTAAGACTGAACATATGCTCCTGCATAGCTGTAAAATAATTTGTGGGAGTTTGGGCTTATCGCTGGAACTCGCTTGCTGGTATTTGCCCCTAATAAGATATAATTTGATATACACTAAACAGCAAATAATGCGACATACTACAACGTGGTGGCGCAATGTTAACGTGTTGTTGTCATGCAGGTGCAATACAACAGCGTGGTGGCGCTATGTTAACGTGTTGTTGTCATGCAGGTGCAATACAACAGCGTGGTGGCGCTATGTTAACGTGATGTTGTCATGCAGGTGCAATACAACAGCGTGGTTGCGGTGTGCGTGTTCTTCGCCTGGCTCAAGCTCTTCAAGTACATTTCCTTCAATAAGACAATGACGCAGCTAAGCTCCACGCTCTCAAGGGTGAGCTTTTACGTTTCGTTTTTAAATCACAATTGAGTTACTTTTTTTACCTATTTCATTTATGTTATGCGTTGCTGCTTTCTACTTTTGTTTAGCAATCAGTAACTCGGTTTCAAAACTTTGGCTGAGCATTTTCTGTACCGTCAATCCGTCATGTATGAACCCAAACCAAATTTCATGATTGTTTAATGTGGTATTCCATGATTATGTGATGAAAGTGAATGTAGGTAGGTATATAAAGTCAAAATTCTATGTTACTAATGATTTATTTTTGTTCATTCTCATGTTTATTCATGCACAATGATATTTTTCGTGTGGTTTAATGACTGTATCCTGCAAGTATCACGGTCCTTCAGTCAGCGCAATTTACATTCATCATTTGCATGTCTCTGATTTCCCGTATTTGCCTAAGAATACGCCGTTATAATAATTACTGTTTTTTCGTGCCCACATAATTGCCTGTAATGGTCTGAGGACTGTTTTTAACCAAGCCCTTATATTGCAGTGCGCCAAAGATCTCGCAGGGTTCGCTGTGATGTTCTTCATCGTCTTCTTCGCGTACGCTCAACTCGGCTACCTTCTTTTCGGCACGCAGGTTAGTCGAAAATATTCTTAGCACCTTAGGCAAATTAAGATACAACTAAGGAGAAGTACGACTAAATTTTTACGTCGTACTTCTTCGTCGTAAATTTTTACGCTGTCCAGAGTAAATTCCTGAGAATTTAAAAGGTTTCAAATTAATTTCCCAGACGTGAGTTTTTAGCATGAGAACCTTAATATCTACAATTTTTGGAAAGGAGTAATTCGACGCAATGCAGAAGGTCTTTCCGATACGCCTCTAATTTGAGCGCTCGGTGAACTTTCTGCATTATGGACAAAATTTCCCGTTAATTTTTCACTTAATTATTGTAATTATCTAATGAGATAATACAATTTCAATTGGAATTTTCATCGCTACTAATCAGAATTGCTGCCCAATATCAGGTCGAAGATTACAACTCGTTCATTAGCTCGACGTTCACGCTGCTGCGCACCATCTTGGGAGACTTCAACTTCCAAGACATGGAGGAAGCCAACAGGATTCTTGGCCCTATTTTCTTCTTGACTTACGTCTTCTTCGTGTTCTTCGTGCTGCTCGTGAGTCTGCTTCATACATTATTTTCTAAAAAATTGTCACTATTCGTTTCTAGTCCTAATTTTTAAATCAGTTCATAAACAATGGAAAAATGTTACAATTTCATTTTCAAAAGCGTCAGTGATTTACGGATCGAATTGTCTCTGCATACAACCAAATTTATATTTAATGCATATTTACATAGATATAATAGATCTTAAACTGTCAACAGTTTGCCGATTCATTTTCTGTTTCTATCAAAATATGAATCTAAGTCATGTTGTTATGGAAAAAAACGTCTGCACTGAATTTTTAAACCCATTTCAACATTGTACTTTATTTGCAGAACATGTTCCTGGCCATCATCAACGACACGTATTCAGAAGTGAAAGTCGAAATTGCGAGCCAGCGAAGTGAGTTCGAGATCGCAGACTACTTCAAGCGCGGCTACAACAACATGATGGGCAAGCTTGGCAAGCGCGACAAGTTGCTCGATGTCGAGAACGCCCTCAAGCTCTCCGACGGTAACAGTGATGGCCATCTCACCTTCGAGGAAATCAGACACAACCTCAAAAAGTTCGTGCTATTTTTTCATTAGGTCATTCATGTGATATTTCACTTACTTACGCCTGGCTTTTAAAGAAATAATGGTATTTTTTTACAAACGCGCTAATATACTTAGTTTGAAGAAGGGAAACTGTGTTCATCATATGTTTGTTCGTGGAATTGATTATGAAGGAAATAACTATATAGGTATATTATTGTTTGTTACCGTAGTACGAAAACTAAATTTTTGTCTTGAACATTTTTATTATACTGTCTGCTGCGATTGGAATAAATTATACTACTATGAAATTAGGTTTTTTGAAGTCCGATTATGAAAAGTGATATAATTCCTTTTAGTTTTCACTAAACGTTCGATAACCATTTGCTTTCGCATATTGAAGGCAGGATTTATCATTTTAACCTTTAACTCGCCTCGGACATCCATTCGGTAAATTTTAACATTCGGATATCGAAGGCAGTATTGTGAGTTAAACTTACACGAGTCATGCGTACAATACACAGGTGCAACTTCTCCGACATGGAGATCGAGATGTTCTTCGCCAAGTACGACTTGGACGGCAACCGCACGCTCGAGGTGGACGAAGTCAAGATGATGCTCAAGGATTTGGAGGGACAGCGCATCGACATCGAGAGTGAGAGCTTTTTTTGCACCACTAATCAGGATATAATTTTGTGCAGGAACCTCTTGAAAGGATCCAGGATATAATTTTGTGCAGGAACCTCTTGAAAGGATCCAGGATATAATTTTATGCAGGAACGTCTTGAGAGGATCCAGCGTGGGATTTTGTGCAGGAACCATAAGCCAGTTTTGTTTCGGTATTTGATCTAATGAAAAAGTGTATACATCATAGAAAAAGAAAAACTCTTGAATTTTACACCTAAGTAAAGTGGACAAATCTATTCTGGATCTAGTATGCTACCGGTACTTAACCACAAAAAATTTACTGAACTACTTCAATACGTTGAACAACAAGTCTGAACAACATTTTACCTGCTGTAAATGCAAAATGTATTGCTATTTGGATATTAGTTCCAGTCTGGCTTCGTAGGAGCTGGAGCATATTTCCTATTTGTGATTATTCCCATACTTGTAATTCCCTAAAGCACATTCTCTCTCACTCGTCTCGTGCTACAGAACAAATCCGGCGCGAGCAGCCCGAAGAACAGAAGCCACAGCGTCCGGTCTCGGCCTCCGCAGTGGGTACCACCATCAGCGGCGTCGCCTTCGAGGAGTTCTCCGTGTAAGGCTGTGTGCTTGTATAGGTTCCATACTCATACAAGTAATACAAGTTAATGGGTCATTGTCCAAATAGTGACACAGTTTTTCTTGACCACGACCACGCACAGAGCAAGCTGCATGCTTATAAAATTGTCACGTTCAACGTTCCTCTCACTAAGAAAAATGTATGGGACATTGTCCTAGTAAGTGACATCCTCCAAATAGTTCTTGAACACAGAACGAGCAAAGAGCAGACATAGAACTTATACGACTTTTAATCGGCCAAAAATAGGTCAGTGTGACCCAAACGACGGCAAAAATTCATCGTAATTTGGTACTATATTTCACTGGTTTATCTGGGAACATGATGCTCCGGTTTCAACTGCTGTATCCAAGAAAGAAATGTGTAAAAAAATTAGAATTCTTGAAGGAAGGTAGTGCGTTAATATCGCTAGCGTTTGTACAAATGCTTGATTTGTATAGCATGAAGTCGTTTTTAGGTTATGAAGTTGAAGAAAAACCTGCAGTTTTGGGTGTGTTATATGCTAGGCACCTACATTCTTCCTCTCAACCTTCTATTATCTGGTTCATTCTATGTGTCCGTAGTATCTATAGTACGGGTTTCGGACGTAACAGTGCCAGGCCGTCTTTAAATTAGACATTTTTGTGTACGTTTTACCTTATCCCCACTTCTATGAGCCTTCCCTTGTACATTATATATATGCGTTTTTCAGTGAGCATCTCCCACTCCTCTGTATTATCTGATACAATATAGAAGATAATTTTAGATATTTACATATTTTTGTGTACGTTTCACCTTGTATCAACTTCTATGAGACTTCATTTACATTATATACTTGCGTTGTTCAGCCTGCAGCGTCGGGTGGACAGACTGGAGCACAGCATCGGCAGCATCGTAAGCAAGATAGACGCAGTGCTCGTAAAACTCGGTACCATGGAAAAAACCAAGAACAAGCGACGTGACGTCATGTCGAAGATACTCGACACAATAACTGAGAATGATTCACGTACGTAATTCAGCAGTTGTCCAGAGTTAATTTATATAATTTTAAATGGGAAGAATTTAATGTGACCATCTACTTTGGTTCGTGTCGAAAAATACTGAGGATAATCATTAGGGCAGCTTTTTTTATTACCAAAATAGTAAACTCTATGGGCCACATTTTATTCGTCAAAGAATGGTTGACAAAATAGACCCTATGGATGGAAAAATAATTTTTAAAACAAACGGGTTTAGACAGTCGATATTAATGTGTCTGGCAGGTGGGTTAGATATCGAAGATTGAAACAACGAGTTACGGCTTTGAGACTCGCGCTGAGTGTGAAAGTTCTGGTCAAAATAGGCATAGCGACCGGGTTGTGGTTCAAAATCGGCTACATGCCAACACGGGCTAATCAAAGTTGACACCACTTAATTATATCATATAATTTTAAAGTATATTATATTTGATTACATTATATTATTATTGTTGATAATGTTATTCGGTTTCAGTGGACGAGGCTGAGAAGAGGAAGCACATGGAGAAGTTGGTGAGGGAGGAGATCAGCGACTGGGATGATAAGGTACAGTAATCCAAGATTAATACCTTATTATTAACAAAAATAATATTTGTTAATAATATTGATAATTGTTAAGACGTAGCTGCCATGCATTCTTCTTCCTCACTACTGCAAAGCTTCATTCTCATTCATTAGTAACAATTATGCAATTGTTTTAATAACTGCAATGCCTTTTTCTAAAAAATATCGCTAGTTATGTAGGAAGTGTTGGTAAGTGGCTCACATGTCACATGGTTGAACTAGTATAAAGTTGACCCATCAAAAGCCCATTTGTGCGGATGTAGTTCGTTGTTCGCCTGTGACGTCACTGATCTCAGTGACATCACGGGCATTAACCAATCACCGAAATGCGATCAAACCAGTCAACCAATCCGTCGTGGGAATGACGAATTTGTTTACGTTTCTTGATCTCAGTGACGTAACAAGAAAGCTGAACTGAAAGGCGGAACTTCTCGTGGGTCAACCTTATATAGTTCAACCATGAGTGGCTCACAAGTGGTAGGAGTCGGTGAATCTGATAGTATGTTCAGGTCGTACTTTCGTATTTGTAAGTCCCTATTTAAAATGTATTGATATATTGATTACTGATTAAATGCAGTTATTGAATCTTACTGCAAGATCAGGTCGGATACACCAGCGAACAGTAAAGTAGTCCGTAAATCTGATTGTAAGTTGCGGTCGGGGCGTCGGGCACTTTTGTATGTTATAATTATAGTGTATGTTATAATTCAATAGTAATGATTGATTCGAACATTGGTCTTTTTTTGCAGAATTAGACACTTCTCTTGCTACCTCGTGAAGATGAGCTAGGAAGATGTTGAACAGGATGTTGCACGAGAGGCGTTACATCAACGATTTTCTTCTCATATATCTTAAAGTTGAGTCGGTCGCAGCGCTACGATGAGTTTCAGAATATAATTAATTGGCAATTGTTGGATCCTTGTGACGTTGCAAGGGAAAATTTTTCATTACACTCGCGAATATCCAGCTCTCTATTAGCAACGAAATAGTTGTGTAGTGCTTAGACGCATTAGCCAGTAGCATTTACCGAGACCGTTCAGAAATATTAGTGGTTGATTGTAATTGTATTCATAAGTACTCATTGAAAATTTAATATAAATTGGATGAAAATATTGAAGTGCAATTCAAATCTATGCGTTTTATTTGAGTGTTAGATTTACACTCGTCGGATAGGAGCTTCTTCTAGAATCGCATTCTGCATTCAATAGGACTCGTCAAAGCCTTGTGATTATACTCGTGGTTAGGGCTGGTTATTCTTCACGTGACATATATATTGGCCTGCACTATTTATTCTTCTGCTTACTGCTTTATTCTGAAGTTAGTTTGCATGGCGCCGATGTTAGAGATCTGCGTTTGGTAATTGGACATTTGAAAATGGATCAAATTATTGTACGTTAATTACATGAGTGTTATGTCAGTCCTCAATCCGCAAGTCCTATTTGGTATACTTCTATGGTATACGTTACAAGTTCATTAAAAGTTATTTTAGTTTACACCAGACCATTCAGTAATTGATTGCTTGCAAAAAGTCTGTTCATTATACCGGTATTTGAAGTCATTACAGCCGTATTTTTCGATGCTTAACTAAATCGTTGATATGCAGATTAGATTGATTTAGCACTACGAGTTCTACGCTAGTCGTAAAATGTCACGTTTAAATGTCTGAGTTTGCTAAAGCAGAAAATCTCTGTCAATAGAAAAAGTGACTTATCTCTTGCTTGAAACTAATGCAGTTGTCTCGCGTCTTCTTAGCAATTCTTCACACTTAAGTTTATACACAATTAGGAGATTTAAGCGTATAAAGGAATTAACAATTTAAATTTTTCTATCACCAAGAGCAGTTTTATAGTTAGTTTTCATTCGGCATTTGCCAATACGTTGTAGTTCGTTGCATTTCATGACTGGCTTGCTGTATAAACGCAACCTATAAGATGCGCCGATACCACTTATTTTGATCTATGCAGTGCATCAGACCCTGTTGATGCTAGTACCTACCAAGAGGGTGTTGGCATGCTAGTTTGTTTTTGCCTTGATATTGTGTAATTACATTGCTGTTCGAAACAGCTATTACTTAAAGCCGCAATGAGATAAATTTAAATATTAGCATTGTTATTATAATCAGTTTTTATTCCTCATTATATAAGCGTTGCACTTGTGTGTTCTCTAAATCTGTGTTCATTTATGTATATTCTGCGCAGATATCAGTAAGGTGCATCCGAGAGAGTACTATGGCTGCTTTGTACAAACTTACTCGTATAATATTGCCTATTTAAAACTATTGTTAAGACTTGAGTCATTAATATAAGTGACGCCGTATTTGCCCTCAACGTCTACGTAACGCTATGATCATTCGATCACCCTGCCTTACTTATCAATAACGTTCATTAAACCAGCTGTTGGTCGAGATAATAATTTCAATAGTTCATGCTTCAGTTCATTAATAGATATTTCATTACCTTTATTTTAATAATCAAGAAATCAAGAAGCATACTGTGTTCTGAATAATCATGTTCAAGATATTAATAAATTATAATCCGAACCAGAGGGGCAGTTGCTGGACGTTGGGTGGCAATAATCTTTCGATCTCAAGCGTAGCTGCAAGGCTGCTGCTCCTGTTCTGCTCACTCTCGTCGCCATTAGTTTACTGTGAAGTCCTTGAAAATTAATTAAATTTTTAATATAGAGGAAAATTTACTTTTTCATAAGCATTTTCATTTTAGAAAAGTTTGATGTAATCTCTTCAAGACCGTATCTATAATTCCTCGTCGTTGTACTCGGTAAAATCGTGAATCATTAGCTTTCATTTTAATGATGGAATTTGGACTCGCCTCGACTTATGGAGATGAAACAAGAGCAAAGTCCTGACAGGAGAGATCAACCCTTCTGCTACCATGTTACTTAATTCTAAGCTGTTTATTTATTTTCAGTGTCGACTAACTAATGATACAGCACTAAGTTCTGGAAATAAAAATTTCTGGGATGCCGGTTTACTAATCACTAAACTTAGCTTATTGTGATTGCCTATACCTTGAAATTAGAATTGAAGTTTGTGCGTTACCGTCAACATGTTTTCAAGCTAACAAAATCCTAATGCATACCTATTTATTGCTTACATAAATTGGACCCTTGAGATCGGCATGTTTTACAAATTTAGATCCTCGTGTTGAGAGGATGTTAAGTTCTCCTTCGCCTGACCTCAAAGCAGCAAATTGCAATCAATTGCATCTGTCAGAATTTGTTTGAATTGATATGAAGATAATTCCCGCAAATTTTTGTTTGCTTTGACCTTACAGTTATAGTTCCGAGTGTGTAAGTTGAAACCGTAATTTACGGGTTTGATCATAGATAGCTGTAAAATGTCCTGGTCATAAATGTCGCAGTGGTTAAAAACAGGATTGGAGCAGTGATTGGCTGTTCGAAGCTTCAGCAAGCGGTAAAAATTAGCAATCGGACCGTTTCGGACTAATCAACTCCGTATGTTCGTTCCATTGCTATTGCCATCACTAAACCGATCATAGGAGAATGACATGCAAGTGACAGCTAGAATTATTCATTTTTCATTTGATGGATCATTGAAAGCGAGCTCAGCGTTTCAAAAAGAGCAGCCTGCGTTAATACAACATAGTAAGGATTCTGTTTGCCAGGAGAAAGTTACACTAGCTGCAAGAAAATAGGTTATCCTCTACTGAAATCCATGAAGTTGGAACAATGAAACTAATATTCAGCAAGGGTCAATATACAGAACTTCATGAAATGCGAATTTCAATTGGTCTCACAAAGCCAGAAGTAATACAGACTAGAATAACTTTGAATTGCAGGCCAAGGCATTGCATTCAAGAAATTGCAGGCATTCAAGAAATTAGTGAAAAAAAAGTTCAGCAAAAAACATTTGAGGGACAATATTGAAATGCAGCTATGACATTACAGGGAAACCTGGAACACGAAAGAAATAAAATTATTCCTCGCCTCTATATAAATACATTGCACATTAATATTATTATGACAGCCTACACACCAACACGTGGGCGCTCAATGCATGCCACAAAGCCTACTATCAACAATCATGTAGGCGACATAAATGGGTAAAACTATCGTGCTTTTTTTCTTCATACACAATAGGCGGCTTAGACGACAGGAATGTGGCTGATGCGAGAGGTAGCAGACGAGTTTACCGCATGTCTTCGGCGGTGTACAGACCCTGGATAAAATATTTAAAATTATTACGAAAGACTATTAGAGAGGAACAAAGCAATTACATTCCAACAATTCCGTGGAAAACTTTCTATATGGGACAGAAAGTACCTAGAAACATGTGTTCATCAGCATCGACAGTTGAGATTCCAGCCACATTTACGTGCCATTGAATGTCCAAGATGAACCGAAATGAACACACAAATTTTCAATAAAAATTACACCTTAATGAGCAGTCTACTGTATCAAAGGCAATGAGCAGCGTTGCTTAGAATGCAGGATAAATGTAGTGGCTACTCCCTTGATTGCCTCATCAACAAGTTGTTTATCATCAGTGACTCGGATTTCGGCAAAAAATACTTTTTAATTCTAACTGTTGAATAGTGTAAATCCTAGAAGTGAAAGTAATGTGTTTATACCTTGGCACTGAATGGAAACAATGTATTGCATTGAACAGATCTTGCTAATTCATGACGAGACTTAGGATACGTACATTAATATACATTTGCCATACCTATGCTACATGATTAATGGTGACAACCGGCTGCATGTTCATGACACAACGAAGCAATATCAGTGCTTAATACCTCTTCAAATGGTTCTGGCAGGTCAGCAAGCCAGAGTTATGTACCTGAGGCCTTAGTGCCCTGAAAAATTTACCTATCTCCCTCCCCTACCATATCTACTTGCAACTACCAGGATGGGCAATTACAACAACAACAACTTACCTTTGCACGTCTTAGGATCGAATCCTTAGAAGCGTCGTATGGGTGATCCTTGGAGGGGATCTCAAGCACTGCAGGTAGTGCGTTGTCATTGTCACTATCTATGAGGTGCCTGATCTGCTCTGCTATCTGAATTATGATAAATAATTATGAGTTATCATCATAATTAATCCTATACTTATTGGAAACTTGGATTCAAACACTATTCCAATTCAAACACTAATTACAACAGCAAAAAAATACAAAAATTGGTAAAGTTGAATGGGCATCTGAACATTCTTTATTTCAAAATGTAAATTATTCATTAAAGTAAATATTTTGAGAAAATAATAGAAATATGAACCTAAATAGGTACCATATTAATGATATTATATAGAATTATCTCCTTACTTACTATCAAAATAAAAATTCAATCAGTGTGCTTGGAATTTCTTTTTAAAAAGTTGAACATTAATAAAAAATTTTCATTTCAGAATATTTACCAGCATTGACACACATAGAAACTGGCACTTGATTAGAAATGGAACAATGTAATTGAAAGTTTATTCCAATTAAGGATATTTGTCAATGCAGGCAGTAGGGTAGAGTAAATCTATCAAGGTAGTATGTATAAACTCACATTCTGGTTAATGAGGATGATATCAATGTCTTCACGTTTCACAAACTTCTTGAAAGTATCCTCAATTTCCTGAATACTTGTATCTGCAAAACAATTAAACTTCAGTATACTCATAGTATATTCTTAGAAATAAAATTTTTTTAAATTTTAAATTAGATACAAGGTATGAATGAAATTAAAAGATTGAATCTATTAATACTCAATCTTCAAGTTACAAATGCAAGACTTAGGTACTCATGTCAACAACAAGGAAGTTATACCAATAGTTAGTCAATACCACATTAAGTCTCAATTGACCAATCACCAATGATTTTTAAATTTAGCACAGCATCATAGCCCTATTTAAAATAATATTATAGGTGTGAATGAAATTAAAAGATGAATCTATTAATACACTCAATATTCAAGTTACAAATGCAAGACTTACTTTTGTCAACAACAAGGAAGTTAGGATCTCTCTTCTTGTTGTACTCTCCTATTCCTCCCAATAGGAAGCCAACACATGTGTCCTGTTGAATGGTGATAATGTTACTTTGAATTAAGTATGTTGCATTTATGGAAGGTGAAGCTTCATGGCCATGCAATTCAGTAAGCAACCATGGGGAATTAAGTCATATGTTCTTATTGAAAACAACAAACGGGCTAAGGTTAAAGTCATTAGTTTATTATGGTGGACCAGATCAAAGGTATCACAATATAAAATTTAAAATATTAGCTCAAGCTCAATATTTACTACATTTGATTTATACAAAAAATTCTTGAGAGGACTCATTTGAAAATTTCAAATGCTATTGGTGTGACAAACTTAAGCATGTCCTCCTCAATTAGCTATGTGCATTCACACCAAGCAATGCAGCTAGCCTTAATTTGAGACGACATAAAATTATAGTTTCCACTTGTAGTACCTATTTCTAACTTTTAAAGTTTAGAATGAGTAAAAACATTTAGGTCACAATTTTTAATTAGTTGTCAAAATTTTTGGCTAAAAAACCAAATCTTGCTGTTCTTTACAGTATGGCTTTGCCAGCCTTTGATATTGGTCAGGAAAATTCCTAATTTTTTCTCGAATATTGTGGCTCTAACATCCTATAATTTAAGTAGGTATGAAGTCTCGGGGCTCTGCTGTCATATAATTTTGTACAATTGAAAAACACACTTTTCGCACTTTGCAAACATGTCATTTTGAAAAAATTTTCAACTTCTGCAATCTACCTTACTTTAATGGTCCCACCAAAATATTCTGCAGAACATAGTCAAGAAAGTAATGCTAACAGTAACAAGTCAACCTAAATGTTTTGTTGGAGATTGCCCATAGTTGCAGACTTGCAGTCATGTCAGAGTGGTCAGACTGCATTAACCTGTGTATAACTAACAGTAAGGACAAATGTTATTGTTGCCATTTGACTATTTTAGGGTAAAATTAGAGATTTGGGTTAATAGGTACGTGCAGAGACTTTGTAAATAAGTTCGTGACTTGACAGACTTGTAAATGGCTTTTTATGGCCAAGATATGGAATACACGGCTAGGGGCTTGAAGAAATGGAATTCAAGGCTCAAAGAAATGGAATCACAGCTGGCTAACCCATAAACCCACAGCTCAAAAAATACAGTTGCGACTGGCCAAGTAGAGATAATTCCATGCCTGCTTTGATAGAAACAAGATATTTCATTAACAAATCAGAGCTGCAGGTTTAACAAAATCTAAACAAGATCAGACAATACAGAATATTATGCAAAAATAATAATAAAAATTGCATTTATTAATATCAAATTAGATCAAAAATTAATTAAGAAGGTTCCTTCCCATAGAATTCTTTAACAATTCTAGCATGCATTTTTGCTGTAGATTGGAAAATTTCTATTAATTATACAAAATTATGGCTACCATCATGAGTTTTTAATCAATTTAGAATCTTGTTGCCAGATTATACATATTTGTACACTTTGGTCAACAATTAGATAGATAATCTGAATCTGGTAGTTCTAGAAATAGTGAGAATTTGGGAAAGTTCTAGTTGCATCTTGAACATAGATACAGCCACATGGGTGGCTTCTGCAAGTTTTTCCAGCATGGATTTCTCCCACAGGCCACAGCTACTGTTTAGCTTTCATAGCCTAATTTTTAGGTGGTAGCATGTTATACAATTGTAAAGACTAAGACTTACTAGACTAGAGGCAAATGAATTATCAAGACCTTCTAAAAGCATAAGATACAATGAAGGTGCATTAAATAATCTCTTTATAAATTTGAATATCTAATCAATTTTCCACAGACCACAGCGGCAAGTGGCTTAGTTTATTATTTATAGGCCAAATTGCGAATGTGAATAAAAATGAAGTTAAATTCTCAAAATGTCATAAATAACTCAGAGTATTGATATTACCTCATCACCAATAACAGCAAGGAGTTTTCCTTGCGCAGCTGCAACAGCCATGATGGCACGTTTTATACAAAATCTAATGCACTGTGGCGCGAAGTAAACAAAGGCTTAAGTTAGGGGTATGTTTACAACAGCTCACGCTCAGCTGATGCCAGTTTAAAGCTCAGCTGGCTCACATGACCGATTCATAAATGCATTAGATGCTGTTCAGTGAGTGTTAAAGAATCTAACACTTTATATTATATGGATGATTAATAAAACTTTTAACTAGAATTCCAATTATAGAATTGTCCATCGTTTTATTCTCACTGTTTCAACACAAGCACTCTTTTCAACACAAAGAGTTCAAGCCTCATAATATACAAGAATGACTAATGAATGAGCAGAAAATGTTTCACTCATAGACAATTGCTGGGACACTTTTTTTCGGAACGAATTTTAGTACATAATTACTTGATTCATATTACTTCTCATAAGGTAATATGGTTATGTGGCTATTGAGATCAGCCACTTCGTAATGCTGTAAGGGCAAATCAATACAATTTTACCAAGGAACATTTTGCTTGGGATATATGTGCGGGCGAGCGACCGGAGGTCGAGCGCCAAAATTAGAGCAGAGAGTTTGGGTTCGAAAGCAGCAAGATTCGAATTTTGGGTTAGCGACTCACCAATATGTGATGCTTTTGACATGCCAAGATGCAAATAATTTGCCTAGTCTGCTACGTTGGCACTACTTTACCAAAGAAAGCATCGATATTTGTGAAACTATTAATTACTAGTGTTATTAACTAGGGATGTGAATAGTTCCTTTCCTTTCGCATGCAAGCTTGTCCTGAAAATCACCGATTTGAAACCTTAAGCGGTTTTAATCTACAAAGAATTCACTCCAAGGGTAGCGAATTTTTCTTTTGCAGGAATTAATCTGTGTTGTGAGAGGATTTTTCTCCTTACGCATATACAAATCATAACAAATCCCTAATCTAATTGGCTGCTAACTCTAATCTGAATATCGGGATAGTTATAATATCCAACCGATGAAAAAAAACAGAGATAGCTCTTTATTAATTGTGAAACTCAACAAAAATACAAGCAAGTCCAAGCTTAATCGAGACACGTGCTCCTAATTGTTATCTTTCTGCAACGCAAAAGCTGTTGCTGGTAGGTTCCAAACTCAGAAACTGAGATTAGGAAGATGGAGCTGTCTTTGTTGTCTATAATTGCGTTCTTTCAAAGTTAAACTCAGTCTTTGCATGGAGTTGCTACTGTCAGGGGTCTATTCTGACCTACCTCGTATAAGTTGTCTGCGAGTTGCATGTATAAAAATCGCAAATTTTAAACTGACTTTCGATTAGTTTAAAATTTGAATTTAAAAATTAAAATAATTGAAATATATTTTTATTAAACATTTAAAATAAAATTTTGAAATTTATTTCGAGCATCAATTATGTAGAGAGCTAAATTTTTATGTTAAAATAATTTTGCCGTAAGAATTTTAAATAATTGTGAATATAACTTTTTTGACATTTTTCTTAGTCCATGGATTATATTATAAATCAGCAGGTTTAAAAGATACGACGAGTACATGGACAAACGTTTTGAATTTTTATTTCATTGAAACAGAATTAAAATGACTCATGTTTCTCAGTAAAAAGATCGCGAGTTAATCATTATGAAGCTAACCTTCCTAAATAATGGCCCGTGTGCGGGGAACCTAATAAGGTGCAGAAACAAATTACACGCGCTTGCGCTGTTGTGCGTTCAACCTGGCATGTTTGTCCTGGACAATTCTTTTCACCGGCTTCAAGTTTCAACTCACATGCATCGTTCGGAACATCATTAAAAATTAGTCATTCAGTAACATTTTTTCATATAAAACTGCTAAGTTTGATGCATAAAATCAAGGCTCAGATGGATGTGGAAGCGACACTCAACAGTCTGGGAGGGTTTGGTGGGGCCCAGTTCTTCATAGCCCTTCTGTGTTACCTCACTTCATTCTTCGACGGCATGCCGGCGGTGCAAGACTCCTTCATTAACTACACTCCTGCTCATAGGTACGGAAAGTGAATGTTTATCGTGAGAAGATTATTCATAAATTAAATTTTTGCTTCAGTTCAGACGAAAAAATGAAAAAAAAAAATTTTGAAAGTTCCTATAACATATGATTAAGTGTATGGTAATGCGGAACGATGGTAACATCACATGGTTTACAATTAAATTTTTTATTCTAATGCTAGAACTCGATCATATTTTTTGATGGAAATCTAGCTGCAACACCCACGTAAACGTTCAAATGGGTCATGAACAGTTGCTTTGAAATCCTTCGCCCAGGTTAGCTTATCGTTCACAGAGGTCGATTATTCTAACAATTTCAGTATTCACTTACAATCTCTTTCCATCTTTTTGATTCAGAGATATTGTTCATGCATGCAAATTCTGGAATCTAAATTGTTTGATGGAAATTAAACTGAATTATTTTGTTGTGGATATATTGTGTTAAGACATAATTATCAATAATTTTTTAGCAGTGAAAGATTTATATGGTCATTTATTGTTCGTTCAAATTGCCGGACAAAAAATTCGAGAGATCTTCTGATATTGGCATGAATGACCTCAACTAAAAATTTTCTTTATGTCAAAAATTAGTTAAACACTAACAAATGCTCGTCTCATTTGTTAGTGCTAGAACTATTATTCATATATTTCATTCATACCCACAGGGCAAGACTAACCCTGCTCTTCCGCTGTTCATATTCGGGATGTTCGCCGTGGTTTCAGCTCTCTCTATGTTATTCCTACCGGAGACGACAGGATGCCCACTGACACAGACTCTCGCTGAAAGCGAACAGATTGGAGCGTGAGTCTGGATGCTACTTTAGTGATGAGTCGGTTGGGCCATTTTTGTACGAGGGATCACTAAAGTGTTTTTAGCGCATTTTCTGATTTACGGGAAAAAGGCGCTATTGAGCTCGCCATGTCCATCCGTCCGTCTGTCTGTCTGTCCGTCCGTGACTTCACGTTTTCGTCGACGAGAAAATGCGCTCTCTGTCACTCACTGCAGTGAGTACTGACTACTGAGTTATATTCTTACATATGCTTCATGACACAACTTTTGAGTATCTAAGGTGTAAATATCTATTGAAATTGGATTGAATTTCACAAATGAAAGTGGAGCGTTTTTTGCTAGGGGATTTACTGAAAATCATTTCATAACTAATTCGGTAAATATCTTATTGAACTACATTGATTTGCAGGAATTTAATGGAGCCGTTTAATTAACACTCATGAAAATGAATGGATCTTATTGTCTAAATAGTGACAAACTGTTCGCACGTAGCACTGATACGCCCTTTGGCCGGCCAAGACTGATCATACAAGGACAAGAAGCACATCGTGGTTCGTTCAATTAAAGCTCTTAATTTTTCAGAATGTTTCAAGCTATATTTATAATTTGACAGCCATGGTGCATCTTCCCGAGCTGTTCTTCATACTCGTCCGAGTCTGAAGTGGAAGTTCGGTGAGACGAGTGCGTGGTTGGTGTTGAAGAAATTAATGACGAAGACTTGAAACTAAACGAGATAGTTCTTGGTTGTGAGAAGCAAGGACATGAAGATTCCTCTCAGAATTCCCGACGAGTAGACACCAAAGACCAGGCATCGTTGAAAATTCGATACTGAAAATTTCATTCTTGAATAACCTAACGAGAGATTCTCTCACATCCGATCTAGCATGCCGAAAATTTTGTTAGGATAAGTGTTCAATATTGGTTTATGTAATATAATATCTCACATCCTAAGTATCTGAAATACTTGATATACGAATTCATTTTTTACTTAGATGTATACACATTAGTATCGACATATAGAAAAATTTGCACAAAAGATTGCTTCTTGGCGTCATAAAGCCAAGCAAAGATTGCTAAAAAAAGATTGCTTCTTGGTGTGCGGGGTTTGAGACTTAATTGAGTTCATGTGACAAGAATATTGATTTTTTACATTACATTACTGCATTGATCAGATTTTGCAACGCAAATTGTATTGTAATACATGTTCCAGAGGTCAAGAGCATCCATGTTATTTTTCCCATCAATAAACCCATTGAGTTTCACTGAACTATTATACTAATTTAATATCACATCAGCAAGACAAATAACAGTTTAATGACTAAGAACTCGAGTTTTAATTGAAATAGCATTAAGTGCAATTCATTAGTAAATAACACTAATATAAAACTTATTGCATATATTTGAAATATATAATTTATTCGAATTAAATATTTGATACTGCATTTTCAGACACTACAAATAAGGTTACATGCCGCAGTTTGTCTGTGGCATCGAAGTTTGATAGGTATAATTAACTTGAACAAGCTAAGTAAGTTAAAAGTTTGTTTCGTTATCCGCGGAGTTGATGCGCTGCGCCTATGTATAATGAAGTGGGGCAGTAAACACTAATATGTAATTATCTTTATATTTTATTACAAAAAAGACATGGAAAATTCATAATTCGTATATTTCGCCCTATGAATAAGATAGCTCGAAGTTAATTAAGATAATGGGGATCATTCGGAAGATCGCAAGCCATTCACTGCCAGAAAGGTATTATATATTTTATTTAGTTTTATTTACATAACAATTGTTAAATGCGACAGGTTATACATTTATCTTAATATTTTAAGCTCGCAAACACATGAGTCTTCACTTATATACAAATGCTCAAAGTTTGAAGTAGTTTTTAGGGGGGAAAACAAACACTGAAGGTCAAATATAATAACAAAGGCCCAATATAATAATAGTGGAACGAAGGCCAAGGAAAATAATAGCGTAACAAAGTCCAAATATAACAATAACTTAACGAAGGTCATATATAATAATAACGTAATGATTATAATAATTAGCAGTCGAGTTCGATTTTACTTTTCGAATAATTATACGTCTGCAAATAATGATTAAATTTACAAAGTAATTCACAGTTGACCTAAATGCCTAGTAAAAAGGTAGAACGGAAAATAATGTAAGTTTTAATTTAAGTTTGCATTTATTTTTTTTTGTTAATTTCCAATTTAGGGATTCAAATTATCTTATATTTCTTAGTAAAACACTTTATTAAAAAATCAATATGAAATAAAATAAATTAAATTATTTTACAGTGTAATAAGTATATTTATCCACTCAATGAATGTTAACAAAATTCTTGAAAAATGCACTAAAAAACTCTCTGGTCCTCAATGAAACCTACATTAAAGAAAATCTTCTGCCAAACTACACCAATAAAAAAAATGAATGGATTAAATTGTCCAAATAGTGACATTCTTTCTGCCCATAGCATAAGTTCTCTTTTTTACGGGGCGTAACTGAGTGAAAATAGTGAAATGTGAATGTCCAAATATAATGTCCAAAATAGTGAATGTCCAAATAGTGAAATGCTATTTGGACAAAGTCACAACAATTTCTCTGAGAGTGACACTGTTCACGACAGTAGGATCTTTGACATTACAATGGACGTTAATATATCCAATTATTATTTGCTAGAATATCAAGTGTCTTTCAATTGCTGTAAACGCCAGCAAGCCAAATGATTTATTTACGACTTTACTTCATACTTCAATTACTTACGACTTTACTTTACGACACACTTCACAAATACGACTTTACTTTACACGGAAAGCGAATAAAATAGAGTTAAGAGGCATGCCGGAGCTTAGAGACGAGAAAGGTTATCACGTTGACCATCTTAATTACACTGCTTTGATAATTAATTCAATCTTCATGAAGTTAGTGATGAGCACTTGACTTCAAGACAGCATCACTAATAATGTTTTGAATAACGGAATCATTTGAATATGGCTGTCGTAAGAGTTTTTATATTTTTCTTCCATTGAGTGAATAGAAATAACCAAGAAATCTCTAATGGTAATACAGCAACCTTCTTTTTCAAAATAAAATTATCATTGAATGCTTGATCAATGACTCAGTTGGTGCGTATATTATCATTGTATCTTCACAATGCAATTTTTATCTATTCGCAATGAACATTAGAACATTTAAATATTCATTATTTTTAATTTTGTTTATACCATTTCTTTCACGTTGTCGCTTGGGATATTACGAGAAGATATTCATCAGGAGCACATCGGTGATTATACGGTGATGCGGAACGAAGAGTTAACAATTTAATAGACACTTTGACATATCGATGATCTTATTTAGTACGTACAAATTATTCCACTCTCATCGAAAAGTTAAATTTCTACAATCAGTGAAATGAGTGAGACTTTGTCCAATTACAATGCACTTTTTAACCCTTGAGTGGGTCATCCTGACCCAGTCTGACTCATCGTATCTGCTTCCGCTCTCTGCTCATGCTTTCGGTGAGAAAGTATTTCACTATTTAGACACTATTACCCATTTTTTGCTCTGAGTGTATCAATAGACTTTGAAGAAGGATCTATTCTAGCTTAACCTATTTTGAATGAAGTCAGTACAACTACTACGATGTCTATGTCTATGTACATTATAAAAATAGAGGATGCATTGTTCGTTAAATTTAAATGAATTTAGTGGGTAAAAAGACGGCAAAGCTGGCTAATGTGTTAGAATATTCTAGTGAATATCGGAAAGATATGAAAAAAATATATAACAGAAATAGTATGATTCTAGAAGATGTTTGATCGGCTAATGAAAATACTCCAAACCGAAATGTTAATATTCTAGTAAATATTTCGGCGGTAGATTACAGAAATTCGGAAATTCTAAAGGATGTCGGAATCACAAAAAAGAGAGAAATATTTGTCACTGATCGGGGTAAGCGAATTTCCAATCAGTTTCCTTTTGGAAGAATGCCTTCATTTTCACGGCTTCGAGAAAAAATTGGAGCATATTGCGTAGACTATAAAATTAAATTAAAAAATCATTGTTGCTGACTTGGAAAAAACAAAATTAGTCGTGATATTATTATACATCTGAACGTGCAAAACACTTTATCATCCAAAACATTTGAATTAAAGAAAATTTATTTGCAGGCTGTGGTTGTCGACCGAAGCTTTCTTCCGTTTCGTCGAGTCTCACCTGTAGAATGATGTTCGTTTCTTATCAGTGATATTAGAATAATAATTGTTACATTAATTTTAATTAAAATTCACTAATTCAATTAATAATTTAATTAAAATTTAATAATTCAGGTATTAATTTAAATGAATTTACTAATTCAGGCAATGATTTAATTGAAATTAACTAATTAACTTAATAATTCAATTGAAATTAACTAATTCCCCTAATAAGGTAATTGAAATTTAATAATTCAGTTAATAATTTAATTGAAATTTACTACTTCAGTAAAGATTTTAGAAATTCATCAGGAAATTAAATGCATGCATTTAACTAGAGGTGACGAACTATTGTAAATTTATTAGGAATGAAGATTTTTGAATTTTCCACGGGCCAACGATTTTAAAAATTTGCCAGAACAATTGATATTATACATGTAATTTTGAAATAAATTAGTAGTACACACTACACAGTTGACAATATATCAGGAGAACAGATGTTTGAATTGAAGGAGACGACTGAGGTGACTAAAATATCCTTCAGTTTTCACAAGCATACTTGTACATAGATGTTTGAAGTTTACAAGAGGGATCGATATTCCGAATATGCAAAAAACTTAAATATTTGAATCTAAAAAATATAGAATTGAAATTGTGAGAAATCAAGAAGTATACAATATAAAAAATTTATCAGGAGTATATGCATGAATTTGTGTCAAGATTTTTTAAAAGTATCTCTAAAGTATAGGTGTTTGAAGTTTATATGAATTTTTTTCAGAACTATAAATATCAGAAGTCTGCTTGTGTGATAGAATTGAAGAAAAAGAATTGATATTGAAGTCTTGAATTTCATCAGATGAGTGAAAATAAAATAGAATTTTAACAGAGGGATTTGTATTTAGACATTCATCGGTTGTGTCGCTATCAGAAATGCATCGTATGAATATATTTGATTATAGATGATCATAAGAATAACTGATGTTTTACACAAATTCAATTTTTTGAGAGCCGCGATCTTTGAGGATGCAGTGAATTGTAAGTTTTCTAAAGCCAGGTTAAAATGATCGCAGAAAGTGAAATGTGCCTCGTATTAGCATCATTATTTAAAATATTTCCATATCATATCCAAAATTAAACGCCAGTTCATCACACATAAAATAATAAATTAAAACTAAATTAGCTTCAGTTATATTCTATCAGGAGTTACCATGTGAGGCACTTTCAGGAGTTACCATGTGAGGCGCTATCAGGAGTTACCATGTGAGGCGCTATCAGGAGTTACCATGTGAGGCGCTATCAGGAGTTACCATGTGAGGCGCTATCAGGAGTTACCATGTGAGGCGCTATCAGGAGTTACCATGTGAGGCGCTATCAGGAGTTACCATGTGAGGCGCTATCAGGAGTTACCATGTGAGGCGCTATCAGGAGTTACCATGTGAGGCGCTATCAGGAGTTACCATGTGAGGCGCTATCAGGAGTTACCATGTGAGGCGCTATCAGGAGTTACCATGTGAGGCGCTATCAGGAGTTACCATGTGAGGCGCTATCAGGAGTTACCATGTGAGGCGCTATCAGGAGTTACCATGTGAGGCGCTATCAGGAGTTACCATGTGAGGCGCTATCAGGAGTTACCATGTGAGGCGCTATCAGGAGTTACCATGTGAGGCGCTATCAGGAGTTACCATGTGAGGCGCTATCAGGAGTTACCATGTGAGGCGCTATCAGGAGTTACCATGTGAGGCGCTATCAGGAGTTACCATGTGAGGCGCTATCAGGAGTTACCATGTGAGGCGCTATCAGGAGTTACCATGTGAGGCGCTATCAGGAGTTACCATGTGAGGCGCTATCAGGAGTTACCATGTGAGGCGCTATCAGGAGTTACCATGTGAGGCGCTATCAGGAGTTACCATGTGAGGCGCTATCAGGAGTTACCATGTGAGGCGCTATCAGGAGTTACCNCACAGTCCCACTCATCACAGTCCCACTCATCACAGTCCCACTCATCACAGTCCCCCTCATCACAGTCCCACTCATGGCAGTCCCACTCATCAGTCCCTCTCATCACAGTCCAACTCATCACAGTCTCACTCATCACAGTCCCACTCATGACAGTCCCACTCATCACAGTCCCACTCACCACAGTCCCACTCATCACAGTCCCACTCATCATAGTCCCACTCATCACAGTCCCACTCATCACAGTCCCACTCAACACAGTCCCACTCATAACAGTCCCACTCATCACAGTCCCACTCATCACAGTCCCACTCACCACAGTCCCACTCATCACAGTCCCACTCAACACAGTCCCACTCATAACAGTCCCACTCAATACAGTCCCACTCATCACAGTCCCACTCATCACAGTCCCACTCATCACAGTCCCACTCATCACTGTCCCACTCACCACAGTCCCACTCATCACACTCTTACTCACCACAGTCCCACTCATCACAGTCCCACTCATCACAGTCCCACTCAACACTGTCCCACTCATCGCAGTCCCTCTCATCACAGTCCCACTCATCATAGTCCCACTCACCACAGTCCCACTCATCATACTCCCACTCTTCACAGTCCCACTCATCACAGTCCCTCTCATCACAGTCCCACTCATAACAGTCCTACTCACCACAGTCCCACTCACCACAGTCCCACTCATCACAGTCCCACTCATCACAGTCCCACTCATCACACTCCCACTCATCACACTCTTACTCACCACAGTCCCACTCATCACAGTCCCACTCATCACACTCTAACTCACCACAGTTCCACTCATCACAGGCCCACTCATCACAGGCCCACTCATCACAGTCCCACTCATCACAGTCCTACTCATCACAGTCCCACTCATCACACTCCCACTCATCACACTCTTACTCACCACAGTCCCACTCATCACACTCCCACTCATCACACTCTTACTCACCACAGTCCCACTCATCACAGGCCAACTCACCACAGTCCCACTCATCACAGGCCCACTCATCATAGTCCCACTCATCACAGGCCCACTCACCACAGTCCCACTCATCACAGTCCCACTCATCACAGTCTCACTCATCACAGGCCCACTCATCACAGTCCCACTCATCACAGGCCTACTCATCACAGTCCCACTCATCACAGTCCCACTCATCACACTCCCACACATCACAGTCCCACTCATCACACTCTTACTCACCACAGTCCCACTCACCACAGTCCCACTCATCACACTCTTACTCACCACAGTCCCACTCATCACAGTCCCACTCATCACAGTCCCACTCATCACAGTCCCACTCATCACAGTCCCACTCACCACAGTCCCACTCATCACACTCTTACTCACCACAGTCCCACTCATCACAGTCCCACTCATCACAGTCCCACTCATCACACTCCCACACATCACAGTCCCACTCACCACAGTCCCACTCATCACAGTCCCACTCACCGCTGTACACGTGTACAGTCACAGTCGCCGCTGGGGCGTCGACGGGAGCGCACGTGTAGTTGCCGGCGTCCGAGAGCCTCATCGCTGACAGCAGCAAATGCGAGCTCGTCTGCGCGCCCGTCTTTTCCAACTGCAAACACAGCGATACGAAATAAATAAATAATGACAAATAAATGATTAATCGGAACAAGTATTTAAATAATTAATAAAATTAAATATTATTAGCAGCAAATGCGAGCTCGTCTGCGCGCCCGTCTTCTCCAACTGCCATCACAGCCATACAAAATTAATAAATAATGAATAATAAATGCTTAAACAGAACAAGAAAATAATTAATTAATAGAATTAAATATTAATAGCCGCAAAACGCACTCGTGTGCTTCTTCAACTGCCATCACAGCGATACAAAATAAATAATAACCAACAAATGCTTAATCAAAACAAAGAATAATGATAATTAATAAAATTATATATTATTAGCAGCAAATGCGAGCTTGACTGCCCCGTCTTCTCCAATTCTCAACGCAGCCGCGGAATTACATAATTTATTAATGTTGATCAATATATATTTGATGATGACAAAGAAATGTTTAATAATGGCAAATGAAAATTAATTAGTACAATGATATATTATGTGATAAAAATAAGTAACGGATGACAACAAAGAAGTAATTAATGATGATGAATAAACAATAAATGAAGAGAAAGTACTCATAAATAATGGCGAATAATTATAAAATAAACACATCCGTACACGGTCGAAACGATCATACAAATATGAAAATAATTGAAGTGGACATTTGAAGAACAATTAGGTTTATAAAAAGAATAAGGTCCGGAGACACAAGTTACATAGCGACTTATTTGCATTGAATAGAATTGAGTTCGGGAATAGAGCATCAGTTCGGCGACCAATATAATTGAACGTACATAAAAAAGTATAGATTTTTTCAGTCGAACATCTTTCTTGTAAAAAATTAACATCAGTTCAATAAATGTCAATAAATAATCACAATATATTCTTTAGCAAGCTTAACATTGTATTGGTTGGTTGAAAGTTCGATTAATTAGCCTCTTACTTCTCAGCTAAAAAATTAAACTGATGAGTACAGAAATACTCTTTATTGGGCGGAAATTAAAAGTTGTTGATCAATAACTTTTAATTTGACTAAACCCGACTTCAAACGCAATAAACCAAGCTACGCATTTAACCGTGATCACGATGCGGCATTTAAGATATTTACTAAAATATTAATTCAATATATATTATTCGTTATTGTTAAGATGCAACATTTGAAATATTCATTGTACAGAAACTAATTAAACAGACATTTTAATTAAAAATTAATGACCACCCTAGCGTGCAGCTTCGTGTCACGCACTGACCAGGGCTATTAGTACCTAGCTCGTCCTACATTACCCAGCAATCATGACCTGCAGATAACTAAACGAGTCAAGAAGATAAACATCAGAGACGTGATTATGTATAATTACGCTACACAAGTAACAATCTTGCTGCATGCCGTGTCATGTTGTGCAGCAGTTCAGTGTGTAGACAGAAATCAATGACCTGAGCTCAGCAGTTAGCTTTAACAGGTTAAAAAGCAATGTTAAATATAAATGTACAATTGTTTACTTTCTAGGTATTTAAAATTTGGATTCTCTGCAATTTGTAAGTTTAGCATAGATGGAAAGATGCATTTCTTCAATGGGCACCGCAACTGTTTGGATGTAGACCGACTCTCTGACATCATAAAATTGAACGGGTCAGATTGTTAAAATAGTGAAACGCTATCTTACCCACAGCACGAGCAGAGAAATGGCGTAGCTCTGACATGTTCTTTCGTCAGTCCAAAATGTGTCAAGACAACCCATACAACCCCATATCATGTCCAAAAATTAAAATATGAATATTGAAATAGAAGCTTTGACTCGGACAGTGAAATTTATGCTCCTCCCATATTTTTTGAAAAATGGAAGTGGCAACATAAATTCAATTTATAATTTAATGTTATTTTACTCTACTACTAGACGGCTACAAAACGATCAATCTATCTTCAAATGGATACTTTGCTAAAAGAAGGACTCGGTATCACGCTTTTGAGGGATACACCAATATTTTAAGGCATACATTGATAAGTAAAGCGACGCCACGGTATCAGGGTTACAGAAGGATACACCTTCACTTCAAGGCCTTCTTTACTTTAAGAGTAACTTCGCTAGATGAACTGAAGCCTCGGTATTACTCCTAGTGAGTGATATATCTTTACTTTAAGGGTAACTCTGCTGGATGAAGCGTCTCGGTATCACCGCTACCAGAGGATATTCCTTTACTTCAAGGGTAACTTCGCTAGATGAGTCTCACTGTTATTAACTTGAGGCGCGGAGCTCTCTACACAGCAGCTGCTCCCGACAGGAGTGGCTGTAATGCACTCGAAGCTTTATGCTTATTATAGCCATAAATGCGAATTAAAATGAACTGCAGTTCTCTCAACCGCTGTTCTCTCAGAACAATTAAAGTAGAGCACTTGATTCTAAATTCTATTCATTTTTACTTTTTCAATTTCCAGAGGAATCATGTTTCAATTTTAATTCAGAGACAATTCACTTATAATTTTCAGCGTAATATTCTCGCAAATTTTCAGCGTAATATTCTCAATTATTCAGATGTCTGTGTGGTCGATATTTTTCAGTAAAAAATAACGCTCAAAATGATTATTGGGTGCATGGGTCAAAAAGCTAAAATAGTATTTTGGCAAAGGTACATCTTTCACATTGTGTCGCTAGTTCATCCGACGCTCCAGCCTATGCTGCTGCATAATTTGTGGTCCATCCAAGTATGGAGGAATAGTTAAAGCTTCCCACTTTTTTCTCAAATAAAATTTAATAACGAAAAGATGTTACATCTAAGAATATTTCCTGCGGACCAAGGTACGAATTTTCTGTAAATTATTACCCATGGAGCTAGAGCTACCTTTGGAGTTCAGTCCGATTTTCAGGCTTAAGTTATTAGTTCAAGTTTAACAGAGACCTGGATTATTTTAGATGCATAGAACACTTTACCTGTATGGCAATTCCTCCTCTCGGTGAGTCATAATCGAGCAATTCACCGTTCTTGTACCAAAGGACCGCGGGTGGCGGGTTCTTCGTGTGTCGGACGACGCAGTCGAGCGACAGGAGTGAACCCGCCTGCAGGAATCGCTGTTCCTTGCCCACGATCACCGTCGAAAATACGCCTGCGATGGTAAATATTTTATACAAATTGAAAAAATAAGCCTGCGATGTAGACAATTTGCTGGAAATTTAAAAAAACGTTGCCGCAATAGAGAACAGTAGCTGGACATTGGTAGGAAATTGGCCTGCGATGGAGAACATTCGCTGGACATTGGTAGAAAATTGGCCTGCGATGGAGAACATTCGCTGGACATTGGTAGAATATTGGCCTGCGATGGAGAACATTCGCTGGACATTGGTAGAATATTGGCCTGCGATGGAGAACATTCGCTGGACATTGGTAGAATATTGGCCTGCGATGGAGAACATTCGCTTGACATTGGTAGAAAATTGGCTTGCGATGGAAGACATTCGCCGGATATTGGTAGAAAATTGGCTTGCGATGGAGAACATTCGCCGGACATTGGTAGAAAATTGGCTTGCGACGGAAAACATTCACTGGACATTGGTAGAAATTGCCTTGCGATGGAGAACATTCGCTGGACATTGGGCCTTACGTACGAGCGCCTGAGGTAGACAAACGAGCCTGGGCGCGGACTAAATATCGTCCGGGGAATGAGGCAGGGAATGAAGCAGGGGAATGAGGCAGCGGAATGAGGCAGGGAATGAAGCAGGGAACGAGGCAGGGAATGAGGCAGCGGAATGAGGCAGCGGAATGAGGCAGGAGAATGAAGCAGGAAACGAGGCAGGGAATGAGGCAGCGGAATGAGGCAGGAGAATGATCCTGTAGTGCCCCTTAATTGTAGTCAAATTAAACTAGATTAATTTGGCGGCATACCTTCGGAAACATGACCTCTCGAAAACAACTGTCAGTGGACTTACACCGGCGCTTGACATTGTGTAACCCGGCTTACTTTTCGAAATCACTTGTAAACGAATGAAGGGATTTTGATACTAAAGTGAGATGCTGGTCAAAACGTTAACTAATTAAGAAGATAACAATACGGACAAGAAAATCGTACAAAAAGTGTCCAAATTTAAAAATTAGAATGAAAGCTCATACTCTCTACTGGCTTCAAATGTACGTAATACAAATTTTTTTCTGTCCGACTCTAGGAAAATCTTTTTTTTTCGTTCACTGTGCATGCCGAGTTCTTTTTACAGAATTTCCGTGAATTCACAACAGGTAATTTCTTCTAAGGATTTAAGGAGATTCCTCCGTAGATATTCGATTGGAAGCTAAAAAATATGGAAATTCAAGATGGGAACAAGGAGTGGAAATCAATTTGCATGGTTGGCTCTAAGCTTTGGACCTGTCAGGTCAGGGCTTTAAATTTCACGTCTCAAGATCGAATAAAATACCGAAGTGGAGCTGCTAGCGGAAACCCATTTCGTAGCGAGCGTCGTGATGCCACAGTCGAACATCCGTACAGTAATTGGAGCAGCCAAAGTTTTCAGATACGGCAGTTTACTGCCTACACGAGGGCATCACATGTCTCGGCAACGGCCGCTGCCATCTAACCACCAGCAACGGTCATTTCTGGCTTCCATTTTAGTTTAAGTTTGGATGCTATGAGAAATGCATTTGGTAATTGTGAATGGTAGAGGTCATGTCACCACTCAATGTTGACACTCACTGTCCAGTGTCCATGGTGCAGTTTACTGTTCTTGTTGTCACTTACTGTTCTTGTTGTCACTTAAGGTTGTTGTTGTCACTTACTGTTGTTGTTGTCACCTACTATTGTTTTTGTCACTTACTGTTGTTGTCACTTACTGTTGTTGTTATCACCTATTATTGTTGTTGTCACTTACTGTTGTCGTTGTTGTCACCTACTTTTGTTGTTGTCACTTACTATTGTTGTTGTCACTTACTGTTGTTGTTGTTGTCACTTACTGTTGTTGTTGTTGTCACTTACTGTTGTTGTTGTCACCTACTATTGTTGTCATTTACTGTTGTTGTTGTCACTTACTGTTGTTGTTGTCATTTACTATTGTTGTTGTCACTTACTGTTGTTGTTGTCACTTACTATTGCTGCTGTCGCTTACTGTTGTTGTTGTCACCTGCTGTTGTTGTTGTCACTTACTGTTGTTGTTGTCACTTACTGTTGTTGTTGTCACATACTGTTGTTGTTGTCACTTACTGTTTTTGTTGTCACTTACTGTTGTTGTTATCACTTACTGGTGTTGTTATCACTTACTGTTCTTGTTGTCACTTACTGTCCATGTTGTCACTGGCTATTCGTGTTGTCACTTACTGTTGTTGCCACTTACTCTTCTTGTTGTCACTTACTGATGTTGTTGTCATATACTGTCCATGTTGTCACTGGCTGTTCTTGTTGTCACTTACTGTCGTTGTTGTCACTGGCTGTTCTTGTTGTCACTTACTGTTCTTGTTACTAATCACTATCGACTCTCCTAACAGGAACTTTAGATATCGTAACCGACAATTTTTATTGATAAGTTTCCTCACTAGCTGTTAACGTTGTGAACGCTGCAGTCATAAGCCACGCTGAGACAACGTCTTTTTCGAATTTAAAGTTGATGTTCAACTGTCTGCTTCTGAGCGCGTAAAATAGTTAATTGTGGACGCTCTGTCCAGTGTGAGCCTTGATTAAAATTGATAAAGAGCATATTTGACTTAAATTTGCCTTCCTTACAGAAAAATTGGGCGGCTGGTAATTCGTCATACAGATTTAATTCTATTTGAATTTGTCCTTGGTTTTACAAAATTAACTTTCACGCTCCTCCATCATTCATAGTGAAGTTATACCATTCAATATTTAACGAAGAAACTTTTTTAATCGATGTCCTGGCTCATGGAGAGGCTGGACAATGTGAAATTATTAATACTTGCCCTAATAATCTCAATCTTCAACACAATCGTTTCGTGAAACTTTTCATGCACTATGAAACTTTTATAAAGGTTTCTTTTTTATTAAACCTGAAAAAAATATGTGCTTCTCGGGAGAGATTAAATTATTTTGCCAGCAGGGTTTTTCGCTACAAAAGATGTTAGGGCCTTTTAAAGTTCGGATTCATTACCTCTTAAGATCAATTCTTATATTTCACGATAGGGAATAAAAAATAAAACTTCTATTATTCTTTCTATAAAATTTCTGTAACTTTTAAGCTTATTTTACTGATCTCGCAAAGTTCAGTGTATGTCTACGCTGATCGGTCATTAGTGAGGGGATTATAAATTATTTTTTATATTAGAGATGACCAAATTTTATTTCTCATCTTAATTCACGTAAAAAAGTTGAAAATTTTCCAGTTGATATAATCCTTTCACGGTTAATGAGCGAAACGAAGTGAAGGAACAAAGTCAGAAAATAGACGCTGCGGAGAGCGAATTTGCACGTTAATGCGTGGGGTTTGGTCGAGCTGATGGTAAAGGATTCAGGCGTTTCCTTCAGGCGCCTCCTTCGATGTAGGAAGAACAAATCTCCAAGACTTACCTTCTTTGGAATGCTCCGAAGGAATCTTGTACAGGGATTTGTCCAGCAGATTTCGATCTGAAAGAACAAAGTTTTATAAGAGTTAAGTTTCAGGTGATATTCGCGGGGTAAAAGTTTGGGTTAGTTTGGCGAAGTTTTAAAGGAAGATTGGATGCCACAACCTCACCTGAATAAACAAGTTTCTCGAGTTTTCCAGAAAGTAGTTGAAGGGAGCGGCATGAAGATAAATATTATATTTATGTACCCGAATTATGTGGAATGTTGGAAATACCGTGGTACTATATTTTAACATTTTGAACTATAGCCGCTTTTCTTCAAATCGTACTTTTCTAATAATTAGCTACCACTGCAGTATCGAGAGACAAATTTTGTAACCACCCAATTAATTGAGATGAAGCAAATGTCACATTTTAACTTGAAGATCGGTTGCTGCATAAAATCATCAGTACCATCCTGTGAATGGGGCATGCGTGTATATATAACTGAATTTATAAAATGCGGGGATTATAAGAGATTCAGCTGTATGGCAATGGGACAGCTGAGTAAATAGTTCAAAATGAAAGTAGATAAAACGGAGCAGTTTTATGAATTGTACCAATAAAATGCACGGAATAAAGGATTATCTTGCCTTAATGAATTTTCACTGAGCTTATGTGATTCTTCATTCATAAAATGAGCAACAAACGAAGGCATAATATGGATGCTTGATTAATATGTATTCGATGAACAAACTCGGATCCAATGGCAGCATCTTTAATGATTTTTTTATCTGCCAATTACAACAGATCCACCTAATATTTTTGGTTCAATTTATTTCTACAATACTTCATTTGTTGTCTCAAGTGAGGCTTTATTTAGGCAGCTAAATATTAGAACATAGATCATAGAATGCGGTACAATTTACCAATTCCCTTAATAGGCTTCGTTTTCAAAGATTAATTTTCAGCAAATTTTCTATTTACTCTATGAGCCAGAATTTTAGGTCTTTGCCAGGTCATTTGACTCAAATAGCTTATCCTTTCGAAGGTTTCAGCTGCAATTTCGAAAATTTTATAGCGAAAACCAGTCGTGGAACAATCACCGCAATTGCTGGTTTCCGAAAATAAAAATAAGAAGAAATTTGTAATCACGAACATTTTGATGGCTCAGATCAATAACAAACGAGGCTTCTATAGTCACGAAATAGAATCAGATTCAATCGAAGAACAAATTGAATGAGATTAACAAAAGGTCAACGTTTTTCGAGCGAAACAAACGCAAGTGAACCGGCAAACAAAGTCGTTATGGCCGGTAACACCTGATTAAATTCAGGCTCGTAGTGCCCCTGCAATTGTGAACTCAGTTTTACGCAACTTTTATATCACTTTTAAGAGCCTAAGCGACAACAAAATTCTTAAAAAAACTAGTTTGGTGGAGCTGAATTACAAAGATTACACACACAGAGAAACAAGAGAGGTTTGTTCAAATAAAGATGCACTTTTTGCCCGTGTGTAGGTTATCCGGACCCAGAATAACCAGGCATCAGTGCTACGACCGCTCCTTTCTCGTGCTGTTGGCGAGTAAGCGTGTCACCATTTGGACAATATAATCCATTAAGTTTTCTGAGAACAGGCACGACTGTCTTGGCACACACGCCTTATCAGCGCCTGTAGTCGCACTGAGGTTAATGCGGACAGCTTAGGCCTCCCGAGCCTACAGAGCTGTGATGTTTGCATCGCAGTCCTCAACGTCGGCCTCACAGCTCTCAATATTTGCACCAAAGCTCTCAATATTTGCATCAGAGATCTCAATGTTTGCATCATAGCCCTCAATGTTTGTGAGGCTCTTGCACCACAGCCATCAACGTCTGCATCAAAGCCCTAAATGTTTCCACCACAGCTCTCAAAATTTGCATCAGAGCCCACAAAATTTGCATCACAGCCCTCAACGATTGCATCACAGCTCTCATAATGATGTCAGTATACAAAAATTGTACACAGAAAAGAATGTAGCTTTGGCGATTATTGACATCGATGATTGGAAAAAAAGTATTCAAATTTCATGTAAAAGTGACGTTCTATTTTACTAGAAATATTGTCGTGTGTTAAATGAATTGCAAAAAGAATCTTGATTTCTATGGGAAAAAGTACTTATTGCAAAAGGAAAAGTATTTCTTGCTAAGGGAAAAAAACACTTTTTGCTAAGGGAAAATGCTATTTACTTTTGTTAAATATATATTGGTTAAATATATATTGGGGGTGTTGCTTATCAGCCCGTGTGCAGGGTGTTGCTTGTCAGCCCGTGTGCAGGGTGTTGCTTATCAGCCCGTGTGCAGGGTGTTGCTTGTCAGCCCGTGTGCAGGGTTGTGTTGCTTATCAGCCCGTGTGCGGGGTGTTGCTTGTCAGCCCGTGTGCAGGGTGTTGCTTGTCAGCCCGTGTGCGGGGTGTTGCTTGTCAGCCCGTGTGCGGGGTGTAGCTTGTCAGCCCGTGTGCGGGGTGTAGCTTGTCAGCCCGTGTGCGGGGTGTAGCTTGTCAGTCCGTGTGTTAAAAAAAATTTTTTTTTGTTAGGGGAAAAATATTTTTTTGCTATGGGAAAAAGTATTTGAGAAAGGAAACTTGCCAAGAGACAACGCATTTCTTACAATATTGTATTCCGGAACAAATTCAGTTTAATTTGTTGGCCATGGGCCTATTTCTTCAACGCCGACACTTCTATTCTATTCTAATTTGTAAAAAATTACAAACTCTACGTCTTGACAACCCATAGTCCATGTCATGTCAATGCCATGAGAATGAAAGACACGCCAGTCAGGGAACAACGATTTTTTGTGAACAATTTTCTAAAGTTAATAGTTTATTTAAAGTAAATTATTTGGACAGACATGAGGTTAATTCATATCTGAAGATACGACACTTAGAAAATTAGGCAAAAAAATTTACGGTATTTATTCGCCCACTAAGAAATATTTGTTGAAGCTTGAACCAAAATGTGACCCAGGATGATTATTAGAAACATTTATAAGCTAAGATAATAAAAAACGTCGCATTAAACTAACGAAAGCTACGAACTAAAAAAACTTGTGTACAAATTCTGCCATAAATTTTTCAAATCGCAAAGAAGGTTTTTTGTTACTATATTTATTAAAATAATCATCGTAATATAGTGTGTGGTGCTGTGAAGCTTCAGATCAGATGAGCTCTGGCGACCGTAGGTCACAAAATCTCCATAGCAAATCCCGGCATTCTTAGCGCTTCATCCTTAGTGATTTATTACTTCAGCTCATGCACAGCACGTGAAGAAATGCCTTGAAAATAATTTTTTATGAACACAATTCAGCCAAGGAGTAAACTATGTATGAAAATACATATTTAAGTATATGCGTGCGATTTATGGCCAGAGAAAGCGTTTGATTTTAATTGTGAGAGGAATAAAAAACTAAACTATTCGCAATGTTTCCCTGTTGTTCAGAGAATTTAATATTAAACTACACGTTATGTATCTATGGTCGACCAGGCAAGGGGAAAGTCGAAGCAGCTTCAGTTATTATGGACGAGCAAGTTGCCCTCTCTGAGCCAGAGTTGCTAAAGTCATCCATATAAATTATATGGAGGAATGTTGGACCGCAGGAGCTTGTTTGAAGTTCAAGATAACATATCCGTTGCGGCCCACGCTTGGATGTTGAAGGGAGCAGGTGATGTTGCAGGTAGCGGGTGATGTTGCAGGCAGCGGGTGATGTTGCAGGTAGCGGGTGATGTTGCAGGTAGCGGGTGATGTTGCAGGTAGCGGGTGATGTTGCAGGTAGCGGATGATGTTGCAGGCAGCGGGTGATGTTGCAGGTAGCGGGTGATGTTGCAGGCAACGGGTGATGTTGTAGGTAGCGGGTGATGTTGCAGGTAGCCGGTGATGTTGAAGGCAGTGGGTTATGTTGTAGGTAGCGGGTGATGTTGCAGGTAGCGGGTGATGTTGCAGGTAGCTGGTGATGTTGTAGGTAGAGAGTGATGTTGCAGGTAGCGGGTGATGTTGAAGGCAGTGGGTTATGTTGTAGGTAGCGGATGATGTTGCAGGTAGCGGGTGATGTAAGTAGCGGGTGAAGTTGCAGGTAGCGGGTGATGTTGCAGGTAGCGGGTGATGTTGCAGGTAGCGGGTGATGTTGTAGGTAGCAAGCCATGCACATGGATGATGTTATTAAACCCTCGAAATTGTTGAAAGAAAATCATGCTTTAGCGTTTACCAATTCCAACTCTACAATATATCAGTTTTCATTCACAATCAAATAACTAATACATTTAATAGGATATTTAATCATTCAGTATTTTTTTGATATTCTGCTGAAATTAATTTTCAGAATACCTATGTTTAGGAACTCAAGTTTTCAGCGTCGGGTATCTTTCGAAGTTTATTGTTTTGTTTTTATTATCAGACATCGCATCCGGAAATTATTCATGCCGAGTCTCGACAAATATTCACTAGAAAACATAAATTTAGAATTCTTTTGTTTGAAAACTCAAATTTGGATCGCAGTTCATTAGTGCTGTTGATCAGAACTTTATGGTTCTATTATAATAATTAATAAAGTGATTCTGAATTGATCAAACTAATATATGCAGTTGGAAGAATTACCAGAACAAATTTGAAACCGGATGAAAAGGGTAACCTAAATCAACCTATTAAGCTATTTGATAAAACCCTGTTCAGGAATCGCAGGTCACCTGGAATTACTCACAATTATCGCGCAAAAAATATTCATTTTTCGTTTGGCACTGATAAATCACCAGCCTTATTCATGATTGCATAACCTCATCAGTCTCGCTATGATCCATTACAATAAAATTGGTCACCTCCGACACGAAGCGATCATTTAAATGTATATTTCCACCTTATTTAGATGCAAATTTCAATCTTCCATATGCCGCTATCGCACGAACGTCACAACACTGAAAGCCTGACCCCGCGGTTTTAAAGCCATAAATCCAGCAAGGTGTGATGGAGTCATTGTTCTTTGGCGCGGCGTGAGGCTTGAAATAAAAGCGTTGTTTTTGAAGGGACCTCCGTTAATCATAATAATGCAGACACCCCGA